TAGAAGACAGATGTTATATGTGTAGCTCAGGTACAAACACACAAGCTGCAGATCTGTCAGACCTGAAGTTAAGAAGGGCAGGGGCTGGTAAATACTGGGATGGGAGACCTCTGGGAACAACAGAAAAATGTGATACCGGTAAAACTATGTCTGGGTAATACTTTTATTTGTGTGTCTGAGACCCAGACCAGGACTAGAGACCAAGACCAGGACTAGAGACTGAGGTCAGGACTAGAGACCAGGACTACAGGCCAGGACTACAGACCAGGACTAGAGACCAAGACCAGGACTAGAGACTGAGGCCAGGATTGGAGACCGCAGGACTACAGGCCAGGACTACAGACCAGGACTACAGACCAGGACTACAGACTCAGACTACAGACCAGGGCTACAGACCAGGACTACAGACCAGGGCTAGAGACTGAGGCTAGGACTAGAGACCAGGACTACAGACCAGGACTACAGACCAGGGCTAGAGACTGAGGCTAGGACTAGAGACCAGGACTACAGACCAGGGCTAGAGACTGAGGCTAGGACTAGAGACCGGGACTACAGGCCAGGACTACAGACCAGGACTACAGACCAGGACTACAGACCAGGACTACAGACCAGGACTACAGACCAGGGCTACAGACCAGGACTACAGACCAGGACTACAGACTCAGACTACAGACCAGGACTACAGACTCAGACTACAGACCAGGACTACAGACCAGGACTACAGACTCAGACTACAGACCAGGACTACAGACCAGGACTACAGACGAGGACTACAGACCAGGGCTACAGACCAGGACTACAGACTCAGACTACAGACTCAGACTACAGACCAGGACTACAAACCAGGACTACAGACTCAGACTACAGACCAGGGCTACAGACCAGGACTACAGACCAGGACTACAGACTCAGACTACGGACCAGGACTACAGACTCAGACTACAGACCAGGACTACAGACCAGTAACACAGACTCAGACTACAGACTCAGACTACAGACCAGGACTACAGACGAGGAGACGTTTGGGAGACGTTTGGGAGATGTTAGGGAGACGTTTGGGAGAGACGTTTGGGAGACGTTTGGAGACGTTTAGGGAGACGTTTTGGGAGACGTTAGGGCGAGACGTTTGGGAGACGTTTGGGAGACGTTTGGGAGACGTTTGGGAGACGAGGCAATGATGGAGATCGGGAAAAACAGAGGACGATGTTGGGACGAGATGGACGTGGGGTCAGGTCGTCATGACGATATTAAAGGTAGAATATGTCACGGTAGAAGACAGATGTTATATGTGTAGCTCAGGTACAAACACACAAGCTGCAGATCTGTCAGACCTGAAGTTAAGAAGGGCAGGGGCTGGTAAATACTGGGATGGGAGACCTCTGGGAACAACAGAAAAATGTGATACCGGTAAAACTATGTCTGGGTAATACTTTTATTTGTGTGTCTGAGACCCAGACCAGGACTAGAGACCAAGACCAGGACTAGAGACTGAGGCCAGGACTAGAGACCAGGACTACAGGCCAGGACTACAGACCAGGACTAGAGACCAAGACCAGGACTAGAGACTGAGGCCAGGACTGGAGACCGCAGGACTACAGGCCAGGACTACAGACCAGGACTACAGACTCAGACTACAGACAAGGACTACAGACCAGGACTACAGACTCAGACTACAGACTCAGACTACAGACCAGGACTACAGACTCAGACTACAGACCATGACTACAGACTCAGACTACAGACCAGGACTACAGACTCACACTACAGACTCAGACTACAGACCAGGACTACAGACCAGGGCTACAGACCAGGACTACAGACCAGGACTACAGACGAGGAGACGTTTGGGAGACGTTTGGGAGACGTTTGGGAGACGTTAGGGAGACGTTAGGGAGACGTTTGGGAGACGTTTGGGAGATGTTAGGGAGACGTTAGGGAGACGTTTGGGAGACGTTTGGGAGACGTTTGGGAGACGTTTGGGAGACGTTTGGGAGACGTTTGGGAGACGTTTGGGAGACGTTTGGGAGACGTTAGGGAGACGTTAGGGAGACGTTTGGGAGACGTTTGGGAGACGTTAGGGAGACGTTTGGGAGACGTTTGGGAGACGTTTGGGAGACGTTTGGGAGACGTTAGGGAGACGTTAGGGAGACGTTTGGGAGACGTTTGGGAGACGTTTGGGAGACGTTAGGGAGACGTTTGGGAGACGTTTGGGAGACGTTTGGGAGACGTTTGGGAGACGTTTGGGAGACGTTAGGGAGACGTTTGGGAGATGTTAGGGAGACGTTAGGGAGACGTTTGGGAGACGTTTGGGAGACGTTAGGGAGACGTTTGGGAGACGTTTGGGAGACGTTTGGGAGACGTTAGGGAGACGTTTGGGAGACGTTTGGGAGACGTTTGGGAGACGTTTGGGAGACGTTTGGGAGACGAGGCAATGATGGAGATCGGGAAAAACAGAGGACGATGTTGGGACGAGATGGACGTGGGGTCAGGTCGTCATGACGATATTAAAGGTAGAATATGTCACGGTAGAAGACAGATGTTATATGTGTAGCTCAGGTACAAACACACAAGCTGCAGATCTGTCAGACCTGAAGTTAAGAAGGGCAGGGGCTGGTAAATACTGGGATGGGAGACCTCTGGGAACAACAGAAAAATGTGATACCGGTAAAACTATGTCTGGGTAATACTTTTATTTGTGTGTCTGAGACCCAGACCAGGACTAGAGACCAAGACCAGGACTAGAGACTGAGGCCAGGACTAGAGACCAGGACTACAGGCCAGGACTACAGACCAGGACTAGAGACCAAGACCAGGACTAGAGACTGAGGCCAGGACTGGAGACCGCAGGACTACAGGCCAGGACTACAGACCAGGACTACAGACCAGGACTACAGACTCAGACTACAGACCAGGGCTACAGACCAGGACTACAGACCAGGGCTAGAGACTGAGGCTAGGACTAGAGACCAGGACTACAGACCAGGACTACAGACCAGGGCTAGAGACTGAGGCTAGGACTAGAGACCAGGACTACAGACCAGGGCTAGAGACTGAGGCTAGGACTAGAGACCGGGACTACAGGCCAGGACTACAGACCAGGACTACAGACCAGGACTACAGACCAGGACTACAGACCAGGACTACAGACCAGGGCTACAGACCAGGACTACAGACCAGGACTACAGACTCAGACTACAGACCAGGACTACAGACTCAGACTACAGACCAGGACTACAGACCAGGACTACAGACCAGGACTACAGACTCAGACTACAGACCAGGACTACAGACCAGGACTACAGACGAGGACTACAGACCAGGGCTACAGACCAGGACTACAGACTCAGACTACAGACTCAGACTACAGACCAGGACTACAAACCAGGACTACAGACTCAGACTACAGACCAGGGCTACAGACCAGGACTACAGACCAGGACTACAGACTCAGACTACGGACCAGGACTACAGACTCAGACTACAGACCAGGACTACAGACCAGTAACACAGACTCAGACTACAGACTCAGACTACAGACCAGGACTACAGACGAGGAGACGTTTGGGAGACGTTTGGGAGACGTTAGGGAGACGTTTGGGAGACGTTTGGGAGACGTTAGGGAGACGTTAGGGAGACGTTTGGGAGACGTTAGGGAGACGTTTGGGAGACGTTTGGGAGACGTTTGGGAGACGTTTGGGAGACGTTTGGGAGACGTTTGGGAGACGTTAGGGAGACGTTAGGGAGACGTTTGGGAGACGTTTGGGAGACGTTTGGGAGACGTTAGGGAGACGTTAGGGAGACGTTTGGGAGACGTTTGGGAGACGTTTGGGAGACGTTTGGGAGACGAGGCAATGATGGAGATCGGGAAAAACAGAGGACGATGTTGGGACGAGATGGACGTGGGGTCAGGTCGTCATGACGATATTAAAGGTAGAATATGTCACGGTAGAAGACAGATGTTATATGTGTAGCTCAGGTACAAACACACAAGCTGCAGATCTGTCAGACCTGAAGTTAAGAAGGGCAGGGGCTGGTAAATACTGGGATGGGAGACCTCTGGGAACAACAGAAAAATGTGATACCGGTAAAACTATGTCTGGGTAATACTTTTATTTGTGTGTCTGAGACCCAGACCAGGACTAGAGACCAAGACCAGGACTAGAGACTGAGGCCAGGACTAGAGACCAGGACTACAGGCCAGGACTACAGACCAGGACTAGAGACCAAGACCAGGACTAGAGACTGAGGCCAGGACTGGAGACCGCAGGACTACAGGCCAGGACTACAGACCAGGACTACAGACTCAGACTACAGACAAGGACTACAGACCAGGACTACAGACTCAGACTACAGACTCAGACTACAGACCAGGACTACAGACTCAGACTACAGACCATGACTACAGACTCAGACTACAGACCATGACTACAGACTCAGACTACAGACCAGGACTACAGACTCACACTACAGACTCAGACTACAGACCAGGACTACAGACTCAGACTACAGACCAGGACTACAGACCAGGGCTACAGACCAGGACTACAGACCAGGACTACAGACGAGGAGACGTTTGGGAGACGTTTGGGAGACGTTTGGGAGACGTTAGGGAGACGTTAGGGAGACGTTTGGGAGACGTTTGGGAGACGTTTGGGAGATGTTAGGGAGACGTTAGGGAGACGTTTGGGAGACGTTTGGGAGACGTTTGGGAGACGTTTGGGAGACGTTTGGGAGACGTTTGGGAGACGTTAGGGAGACGTTAGGGAGACGTTTGGGAGACGTTTGGGAGACGTTAGGGAGACGTTTGGGAGACGTTTGGGAGACGTTTGGGAGACGTTTGGCAGACGTTTGGGAGACGTTTGGGAGACGTTTGGGAGACGTTTGGGAGACGTTTGGGAGACGTTAGGGAGACGTTAGGGAGACGTTTGGGAGACGTTTGGGAGACGTTTGGGAGACGTTAGGGAGACGTTTGGGAGACGTTTGGGAGACGTTTGGGAGACGTTTGGGAGACGTTTGGGAGACGTTAGGGAGACGTTTGGGAGATGTTAGGGAGACGTTAGGGAGACGTTTGGGAGACGTTTGGGAGACGTTAGGGAGACGTTTGGGAGACGTTTGGGAGACGTTTGGGAGACGTTAGGGAGACGTTTGGGAGACGTTTGGGAGACGTTTGGGAGACGTTTGGGAGACGTTTGGGAGACGAGGCAATGATGGAGATCGGGAAAAACAGAGGACGATGTTGGGACGAGATGGACGTGGGGTCAGGTCGTCATGACGATATTAAAGGTAGAATATGTCACGGTAGAAGACAGATGTTATATGTGTAGCTCAGGTACAAACACACAAGCTGCAGATCTGTCAGACCTGAAGTTAAGAAGGGCAGGGGCTGGTAAATACTGGGATGGGAGACCTCTGGGAACAACAGAAAAATGTGATACCGGTAAAACTATGTCTGGGTAATACTTTTATTTGTGTGTCTGAGACCCAGACCAGGACTAGAGACCAAGACCAGGACTAGAGACTGAGGCCAGGACTAGAGACCAGGACTACAGGCCAGGACTACAGACCAGGACTAGAGACCAAGACCAGGACTAGAGACTGAGGCCAGGACTGGAGACCGCAGGACCACAGGCCAGGACTACAGACCAGGACTACAGACCAGGACTACAGACAAGGACTACAGACCAGGACTACAGACTCAGACTTCAGACCAGGGCTACAGACCAGGACTACAGACCAGGGCTAGAGACTGAGGCTAGGACTAGAGACCAGGACTACAGACCAGGGCTAGAGACTGAGGCTAGGACTAGAGACCGGGACTACAGGCCAGGACTACAGACCAGGACTACAGACCAGGACTACAGACCAGGACTACAGACCAGGACTACAGACCAGGGCTACAGACCAGGACTACAGACCAGGACTACAGACTCAGACTACAGACCAGGACTACAGACTCAGACTACAGACCAGGACTACAGACCAGGACTACAGACCAGGACTACAGACTCAGACTACAGACCAGGGCTACAGACCAGGACTACAGACCAGGACTACAGACCAGGACTACAGACGAGGACTACAGACCAGGGCTACAGACCAGGACTACAGACTCAGACTACAGACTCAGACTACAGACCAGGACTACAAACCAGGACTACAGACTCAGACTACAGACCAGGGCTACAGACCAGGACTACAGACCAGGACTACACACCAGGACTACAGACTCAGACTACAGACCAGGACTACAGACTCAGACTACAGACCAGGACTACAGACTCAGACTACAGACCAGGACTACAGACTCAGACTACAGACCAGGACTACAGACTCAGACTACAGACCAGGACTACAGACCAGTAACACAGATTCAGACTCAGACTACAGACCAGGACTACAGACTCAGACTACAGACTCAGACTACAGACCAGGACTACAGACTCAGACTACAGACTCAGACTACAGACCAGGACTACAGACTCAGACTACAGACTCAGACTACAGACCAGGACTACAGACTCAGACTACAGACTCAGACTACAGACCAGGACTACAGACTCAGACTACAGACTCAGACTACAGACCAGGACTACAGACTCAGACTACAGACCAGGACAACAGACCAGGACTACAGACCAGGACTACAGACTCAGACTACAGACTCAGACTACAGACCAGGACAACAGACCAGGACTACAGACCAGGACTACAGACTCAGACTACAGACTCAGACTACAGACCAGGACTACAGACTCAGACTACAGACTCAGACTACAGACCAGGACTACAGACTCAGACTACAGACCAGGACAACAGACCAGGACTACAGCCGGAGGAGCTGATGTTAAATGCACTTTAGTTTAAAAGAAACACGGAGAAAACGATGGAGTATTTTCTCGTCCTTTAAACTTGTCGTGTCCTCTGAACTCTGACCTCTGACCTCTGACCTCATGTGGGCGTCTGTAAAATTATTCTCCATAATAATGATGTTAATAATAAGATTAAACTCTGGAGCCCGGAGCCTGATTACTTCCTTCTACAGATCTGGCAACGCACTGTTTCTCACTCACACGGACACAAGACCAGAGAGAAACCAGAGGGAGACCAGAGAGAGACCAGAGAGAGAGCAGAGAGAGAGCAGAGAGAGAGCAGAGAGAGACCGGAGAGAGACCAGAGGGAGACCAGAGAGAGACCAGAGAGAGACCAGAGAGAGAGCAGAAAGAGAGCAGAGAGAGACCGGAGAGAGACCAGAGGGAGACCAGAGAGAGAGCAGAGAGAGAGCAGAGAGAGACCGGAGAGAGACCAGAGGGAGACCAGAGAGAGACCAGAGAGAGAGCAGAGAGAGAGCAGAGAGAGACCAGAGAGAGACCAGAGGGAGACCAGAGAGAGACCAGAGAGAGACCAGAGAGAGACCAGAGAGAGACCAGAGAGAGAGCAGAAAGAGAGCAGAGAGAGACCGGAGAGAGACCAGAGGGAGACCAGAGAGAGACCAGAGAGAGAGACTAGAGAGAAACCAGAGAGAGACCAGAGAGAAACCAGAGAGAGACCAGAGAGAGACCAGAGAGAGCAGAGAGAGACCAGAGAGAGACCAGAGAGAGACCAGAGAGAGACCAGAGAGAGACCAGAGAGAGACCGGGGAGAGACCGGAGAGAGACCGGAGACTGTTGTATTAAATATAGACTAAAAGGCGATGTGAATTAGATTGACCTGAAATTGAACTCTGTCTGTCTCCAAGCAAAAAGAAAGACCTTGTATTGCCCTACTCCCCTGTCCCATTTTGTCCAAAGTGCATGGGTGAGTTAATGATAGTTAATCTGGGGGGATTCTGCTAATCCTTTCAAGTTGTGAAAGAAGGAGATGGAGTCCAGAATCTGGAGGAGAAGCCTTGAGATCCCTCTGCCTTATCTCAAAGGAACTAATAAATTTATAGAATTAGGGAGGGGTAGTGCGTGAATGATTTCTGTTCAGGTTTGGCGAGACGGAGGAAAAGGCCGGACCTTGGACCAGAGATCTGCCTGATACGACACGCCCCCTTCTTCATGCACATTTACTTATAATAACCTCATGCTTGTGTTAGTCTAGACCGGACCAGGGACAGGAGTGTGATTTGCGTGGAGCGCCCACCAAAATCATACTTTTATATTTTATATAGAGAATAAGGGATAGTTACTTTTGGTCCGAACAGCTGTTTTAGATTCTTTTTGTATTAGGGAAATAAACCTTTTTGAATTTAACTTTCTGAATCATGGTCATCTTTATAAGGGATTTTGAACACGTCATTTTTTAATAGAATAATTGGTGACCCCGACGTGATCCCTTTGATGACTTTCAACCTCTCCCTTGGACTCTGCATCTCTCCTCAAAGCGGCCGCTGATTTGAAGGTAAGCAGATACCTTTTGACTAATTAAAAATCTGCATATTGGACTACACAAATTAAGGGGAGAGAAGTTTTGTCCACGGAGGAGCTAATTCAAAAAGTAAAAATAGTAAAAGCCTAAGTGAGAGCCTTGCGAAAATACGTTAAAATTAAATAAAATAGGAGTCTAAGTAGCTAGAACCCTGCGAGAATATATTAAAAGTAAAGATTTTTTGAGAAGCCTTGCCAGAAACAGGAAAGCCCGCTGTGACTAGCGTGGTTGACGGACGCGTCAACACACAAGTTAGGTTTAACCCATTGGAACCTGGGGGAATTTTGGGCCCCCCCGAAAAATGGAGACAGGCATTCCAATCGAGCAGCTATATAGAGAAATAGAGGCTCAGATTCTGAGTGGTCTGGATAAAAAATATAGGAACAAGGCAAAACGAAAGGCTGTGAAAGCATGGGAAAAAATACAGAACAAAAGGGTCATACCTGAGTATATGACAGCGTCCGCATTAGCTAGGATATTGCGGGAAGAGGAAAATAATCTAAAACAGGATTTAAAAGAGCTTGAGGGAAAGCAGGGAGAGAGTTGGAATGAGCGTAGAAAAATTAAGAAGGAACTAAAAAAGGCTGAGAAACTGAGGACCAAGGTACATAATTTTGCTTTGGCTGCCACGGCGTTGGCAAAATTACCGATGGTAAGTAAAGACAAGGAAACAGAAAACGGAGCAATGCCGGTGAGTAATATATACCCATCCCTACCCACGGCTCCACCAAAATATTCTTTAGGTTTAGAACCAGGTAAGCCAAATCTAATATTGCCACAATATACATTTTCAGGAGAAGTGGCGGTAGGAAAGAGAGGGGACAATGACTTTGTAGACAGTGAATTTGACGAAGGGACAGAACAGGAGTCTGTGGGGGACAATAGAGATCCGAGTCAAAATCCAGCTGTCAGCAGCCCGCCACAGCTCCCACACACCCCTCACCAACCCCCACCCATCCAAGAGGTGCAGGAGCTGCTCCTGCACTCTCTCAGAAATATTAGAGCTAGGAAACCGACCTCTGAATGCACCACAGACAGAGTTGAGGGAGAAGAAACCCCAAGTAGGACCCATGATTACGAGACCGCTAGACAGGAGAATGCAAAATTAATTAATAAAGCCGCACGCAGAGCCATGACTAGGACGGACAGTGAAAATGAAAAGGGAGACGGTGCCATGGCCCAGCCAATACTTAAAGCTAAACAGGCTAAAAAAGGAGCTAAATTCTCTTCTGACAGTAGTGATGACGGAGACCAGGAGCCTGGAGAAACTAGACCGGTGGCAAGCAGAACCAGGTCTCAGACAAAATCCATGTTCCCTCTGAGACCAGGACGAGGCGCAGCTGGGGAGTACCATCCTTTTTCTGTAAGTGACATGCAGACTATAAAAGACAAAATGCCTCCATTGTGTCAGGGAGCTGGAAACTGGATTTCCAGTCTGAACACATGGTTTACAGGTCATGATGTCGCGATGGGTGACGTCCGGGCAGTGATGGCAGCATGCAGTAAACCATGGGAGAGAGATGCTATTGAAAGACAAGCTGGTACTGCTGATGTTTGTGATTCTTCCAGATTTGGCCAGTATGCAAATGCCTGGTATGAAGCACTGAGGGAGAACTTTCCAACCCCGCAGTCTTCTGCCCCTCGTGAGTTAACTTGGCTGGAGTCTGAGGACCCAATTGTATTTTATGACAGGAGTGTGACCAAGTGGATGGACACAGTAGGAAGACACCCTCACAAGGTCAGTGAAGTCATGCCTTTTAGAGCAGCTATTTTGAATGGTTTACCAGAAACAATACGCTCAAAGATTGAAGACAACCCAGATAATATTAACCCGGATTCAGCACAGTGGAAAACAAATTTAATCTTTCACATTAAGCGATATGTTGAAAATAAAACTAAAGAAAGAAAGAGTGTTGAAGATATGACTTGTCAACTTTTGAAGTTACAGCTTAGTGAAGCGAGAAATAAAGCCACACAAAATAAAAAAGGAACCAGTAATCAGATGACTAATATGCCTGCTGGACTTCCCACTCCACCACGACAGGACTGGACAAGGGGAGGGGCCAGAGGTGGTGGGCGTGGGGGGCCGGGGAGGAAGAAGGGGTGGAAGCTGGAAAGGGGGCAGGGATGTGTGTCACCTCTGTTACAGGCACGGTCACTGGGCGAGGGACTGCCCCTTTGAAGGAGAGGCCACCTACTACCATGGAGCGCCTGAGATGGTGCGTGGGAGGGGCCCCCAGAGAGGCATGGGACCCAGACCAGAGCGCGCAGGCCCTCCCTCCCCATGGACGGCTCCGAATGACAACCTGGCCCCGAGAGATGGACAATATTTCCAGCATGGGAACTACTGGGGCGAGTATGAACATGAACAATCTTACTAGGGCTGCCTAGGAAATCCAGGGGACAAGGTACCAGCAGAGCCTATGCTCCCCATAAGGGTGGAGGACGACAACCTGATGGCCCTGGTGGACACTGGCGCCACCTACTCTACCATCAATACAAAGATACGCCCTGTCCTGCTCTCTGAGGAGCACATCACCCTGGTTGGATTTTCTGGGACACCTGAGGTACTGCCACTCACTAAACGTTTAAAGACACAAATTGGAACACAGACACTGTGGCATTCTTTTGTAAATGCTCCTAAAACACCTGTCAACCTGCTGGGAAGAGACTTATTGACTAAAACCAATGCGTCAATTCTATGTGGACCGGATGGTCTACAAGTGACCTTTTCCAGGGGGACAAATTTACAGATGTGTGACCGGTGTATCGATGGACTCCTGCTGGCTTCTGAGAGAAGAGATGCCAGACCAGTATGCAGACATATACTGGGTGAGACTGGACCCAGAAAACAAGTCCACGGACAATAATGGTGTGCATTCCGTCTTCTTCAAGTGGAAACCCTGGATAAATTCTTTGGCCTCCTACCACCTCCCACTGGACCCTGCCCACTTGACATTATTCTATGACAGAGACCAAGACTTAATGTACAGAGAACAATTCAAACAAATTGAAAGTGATAGGTGGACATTAGAATCAGATTACATTTATATTGGGCCTGAGGGTGTGGCGGCCCATACACGGCTGCTTCCTGAACAGTGTGAGTGGTATTACATGTCTTCCTCTGCTGTCCCACACATCACCTTGGCTGTACACCCTGGTCACGAGGCTAGAGCTTTAGGTCCAATGGTAAAGAGACTGGTAAAAGCTGACGATTGGTCTGACACCCAACTCCCTCATGTGCAGTACAGCATTGAAAATAAGTCATACAGGATAAAAGCAAATATGATAGACACAGGGGAAGTGGAGCACGAAACATTGACCAGACATCATGGTAGACACATGACAGATCATGATGATACTCATGAAATATTGAAACAGGTGCCTGCAGAAGTTTGGTCCCAAGGTCCCACGGACGTGGGGTTGTGCACCTCTTTCCCTCCTGTGTCTTTACAGATGAAGCCAGGAGGCCCGATTCGCATAAAGCAGTATGCCGCCAAACCAGACGCTGTCGAGGGTATCTCACAGGTGATAGAGGGACTCACGAAAGTGGGAGTCCTCGAGCCATCAAAATCAGAGTGGAACACGCCCACTCTAGCTGTGCCAAAAACAGGTCAGAATAAATATAGAATGGTCCATGATTTGAGAAAAATAAATGATTTAACATTAACTCAGTGTCTCCCGGTCCCAAACCCTTATACAATGCTGTCATCACTGTCACCAGACCTCCAGTATTTTACTGTTATGGATTTGGCTAATGCATTTTTCTGTATTCCCCTGGCAGAGGAAAGCAGAGATTTCTTCTCATTTACTCACAGGGGCCAAAAACTGCGTTACACCCGTCTTCCCCAGGGACATAAATGCTCCCCGGGCATTTTTAATCAGACTTTGAACGCTCTGCTGAGAGAGTTGGTGCTTCCGGAGGGCGTGGTACTCCTACAGTATGTGGACGATCTCCTCCTCGCCTCGAGAACGGAGCAGGCCTGTCTACAAGCCACTAGGGACACTATAGTCTTCTTACATTCAAAAGGATTTAAGGTCAGTAAGGAAAAGCTACAATGTTGCAGGCCTGCGGTGACCTTCCTGGGACGTAGTGTGTCTGGAGGATCCACAAATATGTCTCCAGAGCACAGAGATGCTATTTTGTCATATCCCAGACCCACCATGGTGGGGGACATGTTGTCCTTCCTGGGTCTGATAGGCTATAGCAGACACTATGTGGCAGATTTTGCAGACAAAACTAAACCTTTAAGAGCTTTAGTTAATGAACATGGCATGAGAAACACAAGGGCTAAACTGAATTGGGACAGAGATAGTGAGGCACAGTTTATCTCACTCAAACAGGACCTATCCTCTGCGGCTCATTTGGCTTCACCAGATTATGCTCTCCCGTTCTATTTAGATGCCACAGTGCAGTCTCAGGTAGCTAACGGGGTGTTATATCAAAAGTGCAGAGGCCAGAGAAAAATCTTACAGTATACTAGCGTTCCATTGGATTCAATCGAGGCTAGACAGGTTGACTGTTCTAGGTATGCTGCAGGAGTGGGACATTTGATTAAGAAAACAGCACATTTAGTCATGGGGCATGCTTTAGAAATATTGACTGATCATGGCGTTTGTGCATATGTGTCCTCAGCTGCATTCACTATGTCACCTTTGAGACAGTCACGGCTCTTACAGGTGCTCACTCAGCCCCACATAACTTTTACACCTCTTGGCATTAACATGGCTGACCACATGCCAAGACAGGGTGAGCCGCATGACTGCAGTGTAAGGGTAATAGACAGTCTGAAAGTGCGACCTGACCTCCAGACTGACCCACTTCAGGACCCCGACTTACAGCTTTTCACAGATGGGTGTTGCTGGAGAGAGAGGAATGGCAGCCTGAGAGCGGCATATGCAGTTGTCAGTGTTAACGGTGAAAATTTTGTTACAGTAAACAGCGGTGTTTTAACTGACAAACCATCAGCGCAGGCGGCAGAACTAGAGGCTCTCTGCGCCGCCTTGGAGTTTGCTAAAGGTAAATCTGTAAATATTTACTCCGACTCTGCGTATGCTACTCAGGCTGTCCATTTCAACCTCTCCGAGTGGAAAAGAAACGGCTTCTTGACTGCTAAAGGCCGACCCATCACACATAGAGCCCTGGTGGAGAGGCTGGACAGCGCTCTCCAGCTTCCAAAACAGGTAAGCGTCATCAAGTGCCAAGGGCACTCCAAGTCAGACAACTTTGAGGCCAGGGGAAACGAGGCGGCGGATGAGGCCGCAAAGAAAGCTGCCAACTACAAGGTCAGTACTCCAGGAGTGTTTGTGGTTCGGGACGAGGGGCCAGACCTGGCAGACTGCCTGCCCGATCTGTCCCTTCAGGTTTTAGCTGAAGCCCAAACAAAAGCAGCTCCTGAAGAAATATCCATGTGGGTTCAAAAACGGGCAAAGAAGGATCCAGATACTGGCATCTGGTACGGCCCTGATGGCCGCCCCGCCCTGCCCATGGGGGACCTCTCACGAGCGGCTTTATCTGAGGCACATGGGCTAGCCCATGTGGGTCAGGTACAGATGCTCAGGAATATGTCACAATGGTGGCATCCCTTTAAGACAAGCATGATCCAAGATTATACTAGGTCCTGTCAAATATGTCAGAATTATAACCCATCGCCCTGCTCAGCTGTTTCCCCAGGAAAATTCACACCTGCTGCTTGGCCTGGGGCACATGTTGTGATGGACTTCACAGATATGATTAACAGGTGCGCAGGAAAGCGGTACCTGTTGGTCGTCACTGACACCTTTACGGGATGGCCTGAGGCATATCCTGCTGCAAAAGAGGATGCTGCCTCTGTAATCAAAGCCTTAATTCAGCATTACATCCCAACGCATGGCTTTCCCCAGTTAATAAGGTCTGACAATGGGACGCATTTCAGGAACAAACACTTGCAATTGGTAGAAAAACATCTGGGGCTAAAACATAAATTTGGAACGGTCTACCATCCTCAATCCCAGGGCCGAGTTGAAAGGATGAATCAGACCTTGAAAAGTAAACTCTCTAAAATCCTGGCAACGAGTAAATTGAATTGGCTACAGGCATTGCCTATTGCCCTGTTGTCAGCAAGGCACTCTGTTAACCGCATTCACCATTTCTCCCCATACGAGCTGTTAACAGGGAGGCCTATGCCAGGACCAGGAAACAGGGTGGTGCCTTTCACAAAAGACGACTCCCCAACACCCCCAGTGCGGGTGTACTGGGAACAATTGAGAGAAATGTTGTCTAGTTTTTCCCATCAGGTTGAAGGAAGTCTCGACCTCTGCGAGAAGGAGGCCTCGGAGGATCCACCAGCCTGGGTCCGTGTGAAGGTGTTCAAAAGGAAGTGGAACGAGCCCCGCTGGACCGGACCCTTTGAAGTGGTGGCCCGCACTCGCAAAGCTGTTCAACTGAAGGGACACGGGAACAAGTGGTTTCATCTCTCTCATACGAGACCATCTGACCCACCCTCGTAACCACGCTCACGGGTTGGACAGTGACTCACACACACGCTTACACTCGCTCTTAATATGTTGCCTTGGGACAGGGAGCCCTGGCCCACGACCAAAAGAGGGAGAGCCATCCTATGGGCTATCGCTGCAGTTGGTTTGGTCGTGGTCCTGGGAATTTTAACATGGGAAGTGTTAGAAAACACACAGCTAAGAGACAGGGCCAGACTTGTAACACAATCCAGTCTTTGGTCCAATAAGACTGACAGAAATAAAAGATCCATAGGAGAAGGCAGCGTTAGAGACTCTCTACCTACGGTTGTGACAGTAAAATGCCCGGTGGGTGCGACAATTACAGCCCACATACCAATGGCAACAATCTTTCCATTATCCTTTCGACCTGACTTCACACTCTACCTGTGTTACACACCGTCAACATGTAAATATGAGAGACATGGAAAAAGCTTTAGAGCATCGGTGGACTGCACCTGTGATGCTTGGGAGTATGTTATATCCAATACAGGTCCTGATTGGGGTTATAATAATGAACACAGATTGAAGGGACGAGTGATTCTGACTACAGACCACTCACAAACAACGGTGCTAGTCACTGTGAAAAATTGTGGGATTGATGTGAATGGGACTTACGTTATTGGACATTATCCAGGAGACATTAGACAATGGATTTCAATTGCCCTACCCGAGGACAAGGAGCTAGACAAGGAGGCCATAAATAGTGAAGTATGGCAAGACAAACAAAACGTACAGGTGACTGCTGACTGGACTGTTTCTGAATTGTTAAAACAAGCAACTGGATATGGGGATAGAAACGCTTGGTTGTGGACAGTGGAGCACATGTCAGCGGCTGCTGGCTTTGACGATTGTGTTGTGTGTTCCACTGCACGTCCCACTTTGTATACAGCCCCTGCTCCACTTTTCCCAGAAGATGTAGATGGTTATAATTGTATGATAAAGTTGTTTTGGCAAGAAAAATTCAGACCTGACTGAGGTTATCACAAGCTTGCGGCCATCTTTGCAATAAATAATGGTTGTAGGATGCTGCTGTATACCTTGTATACGTTCTTTGTGTGTAAAGCTAAGACACCCGCTGTTAACCCTTGGGACTTGATAGCGGTCAAATGCTTGCTTGGTTGAGGTATTCCCCCGTCCCGTCGCTTGAGGAAGGTTATTGAAATGTGTGGCCTTTTTTAATAGCGGCCAACAGAGGGGACTGTTGTGATTAAATATAGACTAAAAGGCGTGTTGAAGTAGATTGACCTGAAATTGAACTCTGTCTGTCTCCAAAAGCAAAAAAGAAAGACCTTGTATTGCCCTACTCCCCTGTCCCATTTTGTCCAAAGTGCCATGGGGTGAGTTCAATGTTAGTTAATCTGGGGGGATTTCTGCTAATCCTTTGCAAGTTGTGAAAGAAGGAGATGGAAGTCAGAATTGGAGGAGAACCTTTGAGATCCCTCTGCCTTATCTCAAGGAACTAATAAATTTATAGAATTAGGGAAAGGGGTAGTAGTGCGTGAAGGATTTCTGTTCAGTTTGGCGGAGAGGAGAAAAGGCCGGACTTGGACCAGAGATCTGCCTGATACGACACGCCCTATGTGTTCTTCATGCACATTTACTTAATAATAACCATGATTGTGTTAGTTCTAGACTGACCAGGGACAGGAGTGTGATTTGCGTGGAGCGACCCCAAAATCATACTTTTATATTTTTAATATAGAGAATACAGGTATAGTTACTTTTGGTCCGAACGCTGTTTAAGATCTTTTTGTATTAGGGAAATAACCTTTTTGAATTGAACTTCCGAATCATCGGTCATCTTTATAAGGGATTTTTGAAACACGTCATTTTTTTAATATATAATATAACGTCATAAAAGCTCGTTTTCACCTCAGCACATTCTATTTCACTTTTTTAGTATGGTCGTTTTCCATTTCACATGCATTAAAGCATATGCAACCTGTTACTTAGAAGCATGGCTAATCCCTTATTTTATATATTCATTAAAGGACAGTGCTACATCATATAACATTTATAACATGTAAATATGCCAGATCATCCTGAGGACTATGTTCCATCTGTATTCCCAGGGCAGTTACTATGTGGCCTCCTGAGGAAATAAAACCCTGTACACACGGTGTTGACGGACTGGTGAAAGCCCGAACCAACTGGCGCAAAGCGCCCAACCAACAACATTTATTTATCATACCATAATTTTAGTGGTAGGGGAAAAAACTGAGCACCCGGAGCAAAGCATACACAGACACAGGGAATAACAACCGGGATTTGAACTAGAACCTTCTCCCAGAAGGAGATAAAATATAACCAAGACTAAAACGAATAGTACATTTGAATAAACAATAGTATAATATAATAATAATAATAACAATAATTACCTGTACAGGAGACTTGCAGCATGTCTTCCGATTCTGTTAACGCCATTTGTTGCAGAACCCGGAGCCTCCCAACAGTCCAGCTCCCACAGCGGCAGAGGACTGCGGCGAGATACACGGCAGTGACGCGGGATCAGGGACCCGCAAGGCCACCGCTTCACACACATGTTTGGACACGATCTCTATGGTGTCGGACCGCCCCGGGAGAGGGCCTCCACTCAAACCGTTCTTACCCTCAGAATCCCCGGCACTGGTTGGCTCTCCCACCAAGTCTCAAACTGTTACGGGTTTGGGACCAGAGACAGGTGTAAGTATGTGAAGAGTTGGACAGGAACTCGAAATCTCCAGAAGAATACTATAAAGACTGGAAATGCAGCTTTATCAATTCAACTCTATAAGATTCCACAAGGAGAACCCATTGTCCATAAATGTTGATAAATTGTAGTCATTCAGATTGTAGTCATTCGGTTTACATTTTCGACGTTGGTTTAAAGATAAAGGCAGGATGTACTAAACTAGATGACCGTTCTAAAAAGCTGGTCACTGTAAAGTATATCAACAATTATATATTTAAACACAAAAAATGAACGAAGCTACATTCTCTGCTTTACATTGTATTCTCTCCAGTGATCGGCCCCCCCCCCCCCCCGGGTTGCTTGTATTGGGGTTTGCTGACCAAAACTATGGCTACACCAATGGAAAAATAAACTACACAAAAAACGTTAGCCACAAAACCATCATGTTTCCACCCCCATGCTTCACAGGGGGTTCTTGGGATGCATGCCCCCGTAGTCAGAACATCGCCCAACATGGGAAACGTTTGGGTGATATACAGAGAAGAAGTACAGAGTTTACATCACAAGAACACTGTGGGGCATGGGGGTGGAAACATGGTTTGGGGCTGGATTTCAACACACGGGGAATAGGACGACTAGTGCACACAGCCAAGATAACGGGAACCAAAAACTCTATTTAAAATAAAATAAAATCTCTAAATGTAAAATCAATGTAGGACTCTACATTGTTTAAGTGTGACAGTGGCCAATTTCCTCACTGTGACAGCATTATTCCAGAAATATGCACCAGATACGTGAATTAAATTCTTTTACGCAAAAGTTTAAATCTGTCAACTTGTGTAATTAATTAGTTTTTTTTTTGGGTGGGGGGGGAAAATTTTTTTCCTCAACATAAAACAAACAAGAAATATTGTGCTGTTTAGAGTGTGAAAGGAGACATTTTACCTCTTGATATACAGTAGAGCCCCATAGTGAATCAATAGGACTCTTTGGGTCCTGAAAGCTGATTGGCTGAGCTTATCAGAGCTTACCGAGGTTCTGGTCTGCCGCACTTATTCTTATTTAAAGCTGTGGTCAAATGTTTTTAAAGAATCATGCATGAGATTAAACCAGAGTGGACATTGTTTTGAGTTTGATACGCTGTAGTATGTGTCCTAAAATATATTTATCTGACAATTCGTATCCAAACACAACCAATGAGTCTCTTATACAACATTTCAAGCAATTTATGGACATACGGCCTACCATTAACTTTTTCATGCCACTGTGTTTTCTCTCCTAGTCTTAGCTTTGGCTTCTTTGAGTATGAAATAATAAGGTACTGTTACTGTTCGCAGTCCGAGTGGAGGGAACCCTCTTGCAGTCTCTCTGTGCTGTAGTTGGACAGTCCTGAAGCGTCGCGTTGCCCAGAGCACTGAGGCTCCTGGTCTCCACCGCGGTTTAGTTTGGAGCGGGGAGGACGAGTTCATCCTGGAAGTCACAGCCCAGGTCCGCACACATTCCTGTCGGCCAGAGACCTGGTCCAGCAGGCCTGTCCTTCGCGCACGTGGAACCAAGAACTGGCCCAACTTCAGCGTCACGGTCCAGAGCAGGTGGAGATTGGTCTCGTAGATATTCTCAGAGTCTCTGCAGAGACAGGAACAAAGCAGCGGTCACAACAAAAAGATAATTCCTCGATTGAATTGAGGAAGTTCATTTAGAAAATTGAGTATACGCTGCTTGAAGAGAATTGATTTGGTTGCACTGAATTATTTCTAGTTGTAAAGCAGTTGAGGTTGGGTCGTCCCTGTGTGTGTGAGATTCTTGCATAGACAGCTGCCCCTTCGACCGGGCCACGGATAAACGGAAGAAAAGAAAATGGATGGGATGTTTCAAACTCAAACTCAAGGTCATATTTGAGTAAACAAAAGTCAGAACTACTATTTGCCAATGGGAGAGTTGTGTAGGCTGTTTGGCGTCTGGGTTTTGTCTATGTGTGTGTGTTTTGTGTGTGTGTTTTGGGGGGTAAGCTGTCAGGCTCAGGGAATGGGTCTCTGTCGTTCTGTCTCGGAGTGTGTGTGATTCAGGTGTTCCTGGCTATTGTGTGTGTGTGTGCTCGTGTGCTGTGATAGTTGGTGCTTTTGGGTTGTGTTGAATGTTAATTAGAGGGGGAATATAAAGCTGTGTGGCCTCAGAGAAATGTTCGGGTCTGTGTCTTGTCTAATGTGTGTGTGCGTATGTGGGGTGGTGTGTTTTGGGTTGTGTTGAATGATGTCGGAGGGGAATAAGCATTTTCATTTGTCCTACCCCCTTTCCAAACAGTTTATATTTGTTTCATTTTCTCACCGATAAATTGACCTCTTCACCACAACGGTCCGATACAGAGACCGCATCACTGCGCACACTGCACCGATCCGCCTTCAATCTCACGCTCCATCCTTCCCTCACTCGTGAACAAGACCCCGAGATACTTGAACTCCTCCACTTGAGGAAGGACCTCCCCACCTGGAGAGGACCAGGACCTGGAGAGGGCAAGGCACCTTTTTCCAGTCGAGCGCCATGGCCTCGGATTTGGAGTTGATTTTCATCCCAGCCTCTTCACACTCGTCTGCAAACCGTCCCAGTGCATGTTGCAGGTCCTGGTTCGTTGGAGCCAACAGGACACGATTGTCCGCAAACAGCAGAGATGGAATCCTATGGTCCCCGAACCGACCCCCTTCCGACCTCTGGCTGCGCCTATAAATTCTGTCCATGACAGTGAACAGAACCGGCGATGCAAACACAGCTCTGGCTCCGGTCATACAGGGACCGGAGCCCTCAGCAGAGGATCCCGGACCCCGTACTCCCGGAGAACCCCCCAAAGGACACTTCCATGTGCTTCCCCAAATCCACAAAGCACATGTGGACAGAGGCGAACTCCCATGAACCCTCGAGTATCCGATGGAGAGTATAGAGCTGGTCCAGTGTTCCACGACCGGGACGAAAACCACAATGCTCCTCCTGAATCCGAGATTCAACCATCGGCCGTAGTCTCCTCTCCAGTACCTTGGAGAAGACCTTACAGGGGAGGCTGAGGAGTGTGGTCCCACGATAATTGGAACACACTCTCCGGTCCCCCTTCTTGTAGAGAGGGACCACCACCCCGGTCTGCCACTCCATTGGTACCCGCCCCCGATCGCCACCCGATGTTGAAGAGACGTATCAGCCAAGACAGTCCTACGACATCTGGACACTTTAGAGTCAGAGCAGATCTCATCCATTCCCAGAGCCTTAAGGAGGCTGCCAACCACCTTGGTGACCTCAGCCAGGGAGATGGAAGTATCCGGCCCAACATCCTCAGCTTCTGCCTCCGGGACGGAGGACGTGATGTGGGATTGAGACAATAGAAATCAGGGAACGTGGCAAAGACCATGAATTGTCAGGAGGACACATACCAACTCTCCTGAACATGGGACCCTCCTATCCAGACGCAGTAAACCATATGGGACACTGGGCTGACTGCGCCTGGGACCAGCTGAGACGCTTCAAAATATGAATCCTGCACATGCCCAGTACGCAGGCACCAGAGGCGTCCTTCACAAAGACCAATTCAGACCAGTCGAACTCCTCAGCAGTAGATCCTCCTCAGCAGTAGAGCCTCCTCAGTAGATCCTCCTCAGCAGTAGAGCCTCCTCATTAAAGCCTCCTCAGCAGTAGAGCCTCCTCAGCAGTAGATGCTCCTCAGCAGTAGAGCCTCCTCAGCAGTAGAGCCTCCTCACCAGTAGAGCCTCCTCACCATTAGAGCCTCCTCATTAGAGCCTCCTCAGCAATAGAGCCTCCTCAGCAGTAGAACCTCCTCAGCAGTAGAACCTCCTCAGCAGCAGAGCCTCCTCAGCAGCAGAGCCTCCTCAGCAGTAGAGCCTCCTCACCAGTTGAGCCTCCTCAGCAGTAGAGCCTCCTCAGCAGCAGAGCCTCCTGAGCAGCAGAGCCTCCTCAGCAGTAGAGCCTCCTCAGCAGCAGAGCCTCCACAGCAGCCAGAGCCTCATCAGTAGAGCCTCCTCAGCAGTAGAGCCTCCTCAGCAGCAGAGCCTCCTCAGCAGCAGAGCCTCCACAGCAGCAGAGCCTCCTCAGCAGTAGAGCCTCCTCAGCAGCAGAGCCTCCACAGCAGCAGAGCCTCCTCAGCAGTAGAGCCTCCTCAGCAGTAGAGGCTCCTCAGCAGCAGAGCCTCCTCAGCAGTAGAGGCTCCTCAGCAGTAGAGCCTCCTCAGCAGCAGAGCCTCCTCAGCAGCAGAGCCTCCACAGCAGCAGAGCCTCCTCAGCAGTAGAGGCTCCTCAGCAGTAGAGCCTCCTCAGCAGCAGAGCCTCCTCAGCAGCAGAGCCTCCACAGCAGCAGAGCCTCCTCAGCAGTAGAGCCTCCTCAGCAGCAGAGCCTCCTCAGCAGCAGAGCCTCCACAGCAGCAGAGCCTCCTCAGCAGTAGAGCCTCCTCAGCAGCAGAGCCTCCTCAGCAGCAGAGCCTCCTCAGCAGCGGAGCCTCCTCAGCAGTAGAGGCTCCTCAGCAGTAGAGCCTCCTCAGCAGCAGAGCCTCCTCAGCTGAGCTCAGAGGAGCTCAGAGCTCAGAGCTCAGTGTTTTGGTCATTTCTATTCAATTCTATTCATTTCTATTGTAGGGAAATAGAAACAACCTCTTTTCCTAAACGTCTTACAACAGAGAACATGGAGGAGTCTCTCTCTCTTTTTACATTGTGTTTTAAAATAGAGACTTCTCCACATTACTTTGGGTCACCTCTGTCTTGCAGTGTATTTGGACCTTCCCCCGCACTGATAAGAGCCTTAGCCCCATGGATGTATTATATTAACTGGATAGGGTATTGCTAGCTTGTAGCTGAATAACCCATGTGCTCAGGGGATTCTCGCGGTACTGCAGACTAGACCAGACTAAATTCACGTGGGCCACCCAGAAATTTTTCCCATAGAACTCAATGCAAATTAAAACAGCTCGACCTCAGCTGACAGAGAACCTACAGCTTTCATTAAGGTCGGATTTTGTGGGGATTTTAGTGCCCCTTGTCATCCTGAACTTTTTTTCTTTTTAAATCAATAGGTTTTCTTTTAATCTTCACTTTAGTGCAACAAACTCTGCTCTCTTTTTCCCGCTCTTCCGCCGCTCTAGCATCCGCAGCTCGCTGATTGGTCAAGACGTTGCCAAGCCCCTCTGCTCGCGTGCATGAGAACCATACGAGCGTGCGTTCCTCGCGTGAACGCGCTCCATTCGGCTCTGTTGATGACAGAGGAGCGAGGGAGGAAACTGAACCGAACTGACCAGATAAACACGAAATGTACATTGACAGCATTGTTGTGGTTATTGTTAGCTTCATTAAGAGTCTATGTATGGTCTTTCCTACAGCGTTTGGAGTCGTGTGAATTCGTATGACAGTCATTTATACCAATATGAGTACAATAAACATAGCTATTGACTTTACAGCGTCCATATCAAAACCGAACTCAAACGTGATGATTACACAAGAGCTGGCGAGAGAGTTTAGGTATTCACCATGAATGTTGTAACCCTGCCAGTCAAAGGCAGCACAGACACACACATTTTAAGTAAATGCATTCATGTTTTGCTGTAATATATGTGGCAAGTGCTAATGCAGATTAGGATTCACATTGTAATTTAAAATAAATAAATTTTGTTGCTTAGTTCGATCGCCCTTCAGTTTTCTACTCATGGTCATTGTAAATCAAAAATGTACAAATCTCATCTTAATTACATAAAATCGAAACATATTTAAATGTATTGAATAAATGTTTCTATTTACAACAAAATAACAGAAGTAGGAGTCACTAGCATTCATGTGGTGACAATAATATTATTCTATATGTTCAAGTTAGATTGTCTGTCATTCTCTTAAAATGTGTTGTACATAACTCTCGCATGGCTCTAAATACAGTTCATTTGCTGTGAAAAAAATGACGGTTTTAGTTTTTATACATACTTGAATATCCTATTATAGACAGCTGAAACAAATACGTGGCTTAACTAGTTTTGTTTTATTTAACCAGAAAAGTCCCATTGAGATAAAGAACCCCTTTTTCAAGGGAGTCCTGAATATATACTCTACCGTTCAAAAGTTTGGGGTCACATTGAAATGTCCTCAATGTTGAAGGAAAAGCTGTCGATAACTTTAAACTAGTCTTAACTGTAAAGAAATACACTCTGTACACTGCTTATGTGGTAAATGACTGCTGTTCTAGCTGCAAATGTCTGGTTTTTGGTGCAATGTTGTAATTGCTGCAAATGGAGGATTCTTTGACAAAAGCAAAGTTGGATGTAAAACAAATCTTATTTCTAATACAAATCATTATTTCTAACGTTGTCAATGTCTTGACTCTATTTTCTATTCATTTCACAACGTGTGGTGGTGAACAAGTGTGACTTTTCATGGAAAACACACACACACTTATATATATATATACATACATAATGTGTGTGTGTATATAGAGAATAATACTTATTAATTACGTTAATATAATAATTACAATTCACGAGGACAAAAGACTAAATCATAGCTTTTTGATCTATCCACAATGGTCTTAATTATCTTACAGTACTTGTTAATACATCACTGACATTTTGCTTAAAACACGGCGGCCTACAGGTGAATGCCACAGTATAAGCGTTACGAAAAAGTATATAATCATTGTACATTTAGCTTATCATAAATACTTAGTAGATAATGATTAAGAATCAACAACAAGAAGGCTCTGTCATACTGCTCTACACCATCTTAAAATAATTGATCAATTGTACATATATTTTAATATCAATCTTTACTTAAACAGTGATAGAACTTAATTCGCTCGATTCATGCGCGTTCACGAGTCTGTGGTGCTGCACGCTCCCGCTTGAGGTCCGCGTTCTCGTTGTTCGAGGCACAAAGCATTATTGGAGGTCATCCACTGCGCATAACCGGGAGGACCAGAGGATGCCCAAATACAGGCGATTTTCCCATAGATCTTTGCGAGTTTCAGGCAACTTCCGCTAATCTTTCAGCCCCCATGCCGTCACAAAGCGCCACTGAGCACAACCATTCATTTGAATAGGGCGCCATCTTGAATCGCCGGGGCTTGCTTAGCCCCCTGTATTCCGGGGGGAGGCGGAACAGGAAGTGACAAACCTGACAACTCCATTTTGAAGCTCCCTGAATGAAGGTTGCCTGAGAGCATCCTCTCTCTGCTCTCTGGGACCTCCAGAGGAAACCGAGAGGCCTTTACTTCTGAGTAGGGATGCACCGGTCCGATACTGGTATCGATATCGGCGCCGATACCAGAAAAAATACTGGATCGGATATCTGCGTAGAGAGAGGCGCTGTGCTGCCAATCCATTTCCTTTTCTTTTTTTAAATTATATATATATTTTTAATACATACCAGGTACCGCACAATGTCTTAAAATACATTGTGCATAATGTACATATACGTATAAAATGAATTAATTAAAAGTAAATTATCAGATCTGACGTACACGTCACTTCCTCGTGGCGCTCTACAACAACAACAACACAGCATGGAGCGCAGGAAATAATCAACGTTGTTCACGCGGCGGTAAACTAGCGAAATACAACACGACTAAGCACCACGAGAAACAGCATGGGGAGTTTTTGCATCGAAAGGAGATTACGGGAAAACAACGAGACACAGATGAGCTTTTCAGCAAGTTTGGGCTCGCAGCCCCATAGACCATTTGGAACCCAGGTACATGCCGTCGCCAAATACATATCTGAAATCCAGTTAAAGCTACGGTACTATTATTTATTTACATTTTCATGCAGCGTGTTTTGTTTGTTGTGTTTTTTTATTCAAACACAGTTAATATAAGTACATTTATATTCAGTAAATGTATAAGGTATAATACAGTGTTGCCCCCACTGAAAGATCAAGGCTATGCTCACACTCAGAGAGCAGCCGTCCTCCTGTGGACTCACCACCTGCAGAGGGTCAGTGAGGGGCTGGTGCTATGAGACTTGGGTGGCATCTCTGACTGCCACCCCCCTGACCCAGAAATGGATTAAAGGGTAGAAAATGGATGGATGGATGGACAGTGTTGGAATGTTTAATGTGAACATTGAGCAGCTCTTTATAGTTGCAGTATTGCACATTTATGTTGAATCCATTTTATCTGGAAAGTTTAGCGCTTTAGTTCATCCACTGCTTTTGCAGTTACTTGAACAAAGAGTTCAATTATTAAATACATTTTTGCATGATCATTTCCTGTATCGGTCAATATCGGTATCGGCAGAAACCCATAGCTCTGGTATCGGTATCGGTATCGGTAGTAAAAAAGCTGGATCGGTGCATCTCTATTCTCACTCTCGCCTCTTAGCAAGAAGGTCCTGGGTTCAAATCCCGGTCGGAGCAGGGCCTTTCTGAGTGGAGTTTGCGTGTTCTCCCCGTGTCTGCGTAGGTTTCCTCTGGGTACTCCGGTTTCCCCTGCCACTAAAAATATGTACAATAGGCCCCACATTTTCACTCCACACAGAGATCCCATCTCTGTGTGGAGTGAAAAATAAAATGCCCAAAAAAATAACAATTGTAAACCGCTTTGTGACTCTGGTCTGTGAAAGACGGTATATAAATATAGATTACTTACTTGCTTAATAACTGAGGAATTATGGGATGATGTACTTTTATTAGGAGTGATGTGTAGTAATTTAGTAATACTTGTTAACACAGTATACTCGATAACACAGAAGTACAGCTGTTTGACCAAAGGCGTCTTCTGTAATTATGATTGTCAGTCATTTAGAACGTTACTGTATGTTTTGGCAAATGTCAGAGCTTTATGTAAACTATGTTTTTATCTCAACAGGAAGTTAGATCCGGGGGATGTATGGAGTCTACAAAAACATTGGCAACAGAATGAGGGCCGTACTTATCAAAACAGAACCACAGAAGTTCAACTCTGTTGAGGCTCAGAGCTCAGTGTTTAGATCAATTCTATTCAATTCTATTTAATTCTATTAAGGGCTGTCAAACAATAAAAAATGTCAATCCATCCATTTTCTTCCCCTTAATCCATTTCTGGGTCGGGGGGGTGGCAGTCAGCGCTGCACCCAGTACACAGAGCACCAGCCCCTCACTGATCCTCCTGCAGGTGGTGAGTCCACAGGAGCTGAGATCTTTCAGTGGGGGCTTCAGGCAAAGTGGGGTTAAGTGTCTTGCCCAAGGACACAATGACAGCAGTCATCAGTGGGAGTTGTGAAGTAGGTCTGGTAGTGGGCTCGAACCCACGACCTTCAGGCTCAAAGGCCAATGCTCTACCAACTGAGCCTCTGTCGCCCCACCTTTTACTTTTGGGCACAACCAACATGAGCTGTTAATGAGAGGGAAAATGTACGTACCCCAGCTTTAATTTAGCGAGTTTATTTGTGTTTCAGGAGGAGACACGACACTTCCTGAGGCTCCATAGTTCAGCTTCAGCTGTGGATGGTGTGTATGGTCATGGATCATGTTACCGCGGCGCCATTCGCCGTGTTGTTGTTAGCGGCTCACAGCTGCGGCCGCTGCCCCGGATAATTTTGACAGTCCTAATTCTATTCAATTCTATTCAATTCAATTCTATTCTATTATATTCTATTTGAGTGAATGGTGGTGGTGGGAGGGGTCAATGGCACATACTAGCTGTCTTGCTTCTGTCAGTGCGCCCCAGGGCAGCTGTGACCACAGTAGTAGTTTATGAATGAATTGTGCTGTGAAAAGTCTTTGAGTGTCCAGAATATTACTGCCAATCAACTGTGTTTAATAGAACCAGTGGCAGGACCCGCACACACTTATATTATACATATTATTGTGACAGTTGGACAGAAGTTTGGACACCCGTACTCTAGCGCACACACTTTATCCAATCAACATCTATTTTCCAGTGACCTGTGAGCCCAGATCTAACACAGAGAAAGCCTCCTGAGAGCTCCAGCAGGTGGTGCTGGACTTTCACAGGACTCTCTTCACGTCACAGCGTCACAAACCTGTCACTCAACTCTGTCTTTCACTGATGTTATTATTTCTGTGGCTGGAACATGTGGCTTTTGTTTTCTTTGCGTGTTTCCTTGTTCCTGGTCCAGTGTGTATAAATACCTGCTGTTCTCTCATGGCCACAGACACAGACAGAGGTAAGTCCTACTCTCCTCCAGCCCTCAGCTCTAAAGCTCATGTCTGTAAATCTCATGTCCTGTTTGTAGATGGCCCTCACTCTGCTCCTCTGCTGTTTGGCCTCGGCCGCCCTGCTGACCGCACAAGCTGTAAGAGAAGGACATTGTTGATGACCATAAACCATGGGTCTAAAACTTTTATTATATCTCTGTTCTTCTTTCACAGACTGCTGACCCAGGAACCCCAGGTAAGAGAAGCAGAGAATGGGTCAAATGCAGAGGACCCAGTTCCCATGGCAACAGTAAAGAGTTATCATGATTGTTAGTGATGGCAGTATCTGTGCAGGCTGTGGGGACGGCTGGACTCAGTTTAACTCTCGATGTTTCAAGCTCTACAAGGAGGCAAAGAGCTGGATGGATGGAGAGGTAACAACAACATGAAACACTAATTATTAGGTTATAATTGGAGGCCGGAGGAGAGAATGAGGTCAGTCCCTGTGCTCCTCAGAGTTGGTTGATATTGCACATGTCACAGAGGGATGTATAATTCTCTCTTTACAGACTCAAAGTTAAGAGTGTTCTGAATAATCCCTTTTCTCCTGAATCCATAGAAATCCTGCCACGGTGTTGGTGCAAACCTGGCTTCCATCCACAGTAAGGAGGAGAACGAGTTCGTTGTGACCTTGATCATTAAAGACACAGGAGGTTATGCTATGACCTGGCTCGGAGGAACTGACGCTGTCGAGGTGAACGCTCTCGATGTTTTTGTAGAGTTACTTTTCCAATACAAGGCAGTGTGACCATGGGATTAAATGGAAAGAGATTGAAGGTTGGCTTAAATGTAGTTGACAAAAGTATATTATATCTTAATCATAAATACAACAAAAAGATGCCAATCAATTACATCACATTCTTCAACCACGTGCACTTAGAACACTGGTTACACATTACATTTATGACCATAATGGTCACCTTTTTTATCCTCCACAGGATAAGAAATGGCTTTGGAGCGATGGAACGCCCTGGGACTATGAGAACTGGTATTCCGGTCAACCAGATAATCACAAAGAAGTTGAACACAGTCTGTCGATCAACCACGGTGGTACGAGACCAATCTCCATCTTCTATTGACCTCAGATCCAAGAGATACTTAGTCCCGTTTGCAAATCCATTTTAAAAACCTTCCTCAGTTAAATGATTTTTTATTTCTATGTGACATTTCTCTCTCAGCAAAGACCTGGGCGGACGACAACAAGGCCAATTGTTGGTACTTCATGTGCTCCAAAGATGTTCCTCCAACTCCTCCCAAACTGATGCCCGTGTCGCTGACTCTGGAGGGCTTCGTCTGCAAATGCATCCCAGAGAAGTGACCACCTCCTGACCGCCTCCTGACCACATGTGGTTCTCTGTGTTAGTTTGATTACTAAGGGTGTATTAGGACAAACTTTAATCAACTGCTCCTAAGTTGTTTGTAACTCATGGGAAACTAATAAAAATGCTTCACTGCTGCATTCTCGGAGTGTTTCTTCAAACTTCACAAACTACGACCACACACTGGTGTCCTTTGAACACACACTGGTGTCTTTTGAACACACACTGGTGTCTTTTGAACACACACACTACTTCAACATGATCACATGACTGTGATGGTGTGAGGCAGATTCAGGAAAACTGTTCCAGATAATAGCTGCATGAATCTTAAACTGTCACGTAGGTGAAAAAACAAGGAGACCCAAAATGCGAAACCGTAAAATAATGGATTTTATAAAAAAAATAAAAAAAATCCAAAACCAGCAATAACACAGGGAACGAGGACAAAACTAAAAACAGACGAGGGATGACAATGACGGAACAGGGAGTGAAGGAACACACAGGTCATACACATGAAGAGTGCGGGGCAGGTGATCAAACAGGAAGTACAACCAAAGAAGACTCAGGGATTTAACAAACTACAAAATAAAACTGGAAATGAATCCAAACCATGACATAAACCCTACAATCTAATGTTTGGTTTATCACATTCTGTTCTTGGGCGCAGTCAACCCAGCAACTCATATGGTTTCCCGGGCTGACTGCGCCCTCTGCTGGAGAAGCAAAGGAAAACAATAACTTATCTACCAACGGCCGACTCCATCAACATCCTAAAGGTAGACAAAGGACGAACAACAGTGATGATGGACAGAACATAACACCAAGACAAGATGAAAGCAATACTATCAGACAGGAACACTTACAATATATACCCCAACCAGTAATAGAAAACCTCCAGTCCAGAAAAATGAAATGCACACAGAGGCTTTACAACATTTCCTCCCCTCAGTAAGAACCACCCAGACATATGGTACACCTAAAATCCACAAACAAGACACACCACTGCGAACCATCGTTGACAGCCTCGGATCAGAATCAAACCTCTGCTTGGACTAAACACCAATGAAAGAACATCACAGTTAGCCTGGCCTTATCCATCCGTACACTCCTCTCAATCATCATTTCACTGCATGTAACGTCTGGGTCTGGTCCCTGTGTTAACGAATACAATCGGTTGTATTTCGACCGGCTACTCAGAGAGCGCGGAAGGCCGGTGTTGTAGGTCGATGCCGGTGACCTCAAGAGTTTGCGCCGAACAGGCAGGTTGTAGTTTGGCAATGGCGAAGAATGCGATAGTAAAGTAATCCGGTCTGGTTCTATCAAGAAATTGAAGCAGGAGCAAGAGGAATGTTTAGCAAATGTAATCGCTGGTCAAGATTGTGGCGCTACTCCCCACGGGCTCCGTTAGCAGCAAAGGAGATGGCTAGGCTAAATGCTAAATGCTAACAACACACTCGGGCGCATTACATACAACTAAACTCAGATCCAATGGTTTCAATCTGCAAAAGGAGTTAACCGCTCCCACCTGTTAACGGAGCTCAATGGAGCAAATCCAGACCTTAGTATGAAATGTAATTTGTACTATGGTGTGGTACCCGGGAGGAGGCCCCGGGGAAGACCAAGGACACGCTGGAGGGACTATGTCTCTCAGCTGGCCTGGGAACGCCTTGGAGTCGTCCCGGACGAGCTGGAGGAAGTGTGTGTGGATAGGGAAGTCTGGGCGTCTCTGCTTAGACTGCTGCCCCCGCGACCCGGCAACGGATGAAGCGGAAGAAAATGGATGGATGGGTGTGGTACGACCAGGCTACATCACAGTAGGACAGGACGACACATTTATATCACACTATTCACAAAACCTCTGTAGACGCCACATTACACATGGTACAGGAACGACTCATTTCACAGTTTACCACAAACCCACCCTCAAGGACCAGTACTTGGACTTCAGAACATCCCACAGAACTCAGGACGTTAAGGACCGACTGGACAAAGAGATACACCAGAGAAATGTCTATATCACAGATGGGCTACAGAAAAAGGTAAACGTCAAAAACAAAACCATGGTACCCAAAACAAACAAACAAAAAAGAACAGACCAGGAACCCAGTAAAGACACATACCATGTATCGGGGAAGACAGAACACGTTCAACAAGCCATAAAAAATACAATGTAAATATAGCCATAAAACCATAATTTAAGACAGATGTTAGTTCTCCCCAAGGACACATTAGAACCAGCCCAATGCAACGTCATATACAAAGACCATATATGAAAGACCATATATGATATACCATGTAAATCATGCAAACAGATATGTAGATAGGAGAAACAGGCATTTAACCAGAAAAACCGATCACATGAAAGAATGTGAGATAGAGACAGCATTTAGACCAACCAGAACAAGAGGACAACTTATAATCAGCAATATCAGAACTCATGGAATGGCACAAGAATCATAAATCAGGAACCCAACAATTATAAACAATGGATCAAAGAGGACATATCCATCCATCAATCCATTTTCTTCCGCTTCATCCGTTGCCGGGTCACAGTCTAATCAGAGACGCCCAGACTTCCCAATCCACACACATTTTCTCCAGCTCGTCGGGGGGGACCCCAAGGCGTTCATTAACCAAAGCTCATGACCATAGGTGAGGGAGGGAGCAAAGATTGGAGGACACATACCAACTCTCCTGAACATGGGACCCTCCTATCCAGGCGCAGTAAACCATATGGGACACTGGGCTGACTGCGCCTGGGACCAGCTGAGACGCTTCAAAATATGAATCCTGCACATGCCCAGTACGCAGGCACCAGAGGCGTCCTTCACAAAGACCAATTCAGACCAGTCAAACTCCTCAGCAGTAGATCCGCCTCAGCAGTAGAACCTCCTCAGCAGTAGATCCTCCTCAGCAGTAGATCCTCCTCAGCAGTAGATCCGCCTCAGCAGTAGATCCTCCTCAGCAGTAGATCCTCCTCAGCAGTAGATCCTCCTCATTAGAGCCTCCTCAGCAGTAGAGCCTCCACAGAAGCAGAGCCTCCTCAGCAGTAGAGCCTCCTCAGTTAGATCCGGGGGATGTATGGAGTCTATAAAAACATTGGCAACAGAATGAGGGCCGTACTTATCAAAACAGAACCACAGAGGTTCAACTCTGTTACGGCCACAAACATGAGGCTCAGAGCTCAGTGTTTTGGTCATTCGGTCTACTTCTGAGTCAGTTTAAACTCAGGATGGCCTTTAAACTGCTATAGGCCTGAGACCTGAGATGTACAAGATATACGAACACTTATTCACCAAAGAAGGATAGGAAAAACCATAAAGCCGGTGCATGGGTTGGGGTTGGGTACAACGCGGTTAAAGCCGTCACAAACCTGTCTCTCAACACTCTCAGCTGCATTCTTTACAGTCATACATTTCCCGGAGCTGCCAGACCTGGTCCATTATGACCAGACTGGTTTCACCAAGTCCCGACTCGCATCAGACAATGTCCGCAGATTACTGCATGTTATAGACAGCTCATCTAAAGCTCCAAACCAAAATGCCATTCTTTCGATTGATGCTGAAAAGGCATTCGATCGATTAGAATGGAGCTACTTATGGTCTGTGCTTAAGCATATTGGTTTTGATGAAAATTTCATCTTAATGATTAAAACTCTTTACGCCAACCCCAGTGCAGTGGTTATGACAGGCACTTCTTGCTCTCCTAGGTTTCCTGTGTCCCGCTGTTCACGCCAGGGCTGCCCACTGTCACCACTGTTATTTACTCTCTCTCTAGAACCGATAGCACAACTCATTAGACAGTCAGGTGAAACTGAGCCGATCAAGATTCAAAACAGCGTTCATCATATTTCATTATATGCCGATGACATTCTAATCTATACTAGCAATCCAGTAAAATCAATTCCATTTTTGCTTGACACTTTTGAGCAGTTTGGCAAAATAGCGGGCTACAAAGTAAACTGGACAAAATCTGCTTTGATGCCTCTGAGTCTTGTCACAAATGATATGTCTGTTCTGAATATTCCCATTGTTAAAACTATGAAATACCTTGGTATCCAAATTCATCCGAGAATGAGTACTATGATTAACGAAAATTATAATAATACCTTGAGAACTCTAAAAGATGACCTTCAGAGATGGGGAAAACTTCCAATGTCCTTTCAAGCTCGCTTATCTGTTATAAAAATGAACATACTACCTCGTGTCAATTTTATTAGCTCCATGCTGCCCTTAGACCCACCAAAAGGATATTGGAAGAAGTTACATTCTCTTACTAATACATATTTATGGAACAATAAAAAGCCCAGAGTGAAAGCATCTACTCTTCAAAAACCTAAAGAATCCGGGGGTCTCAACCTCCCCAATTTTGAATGGTACTCTTGGTGCTTCACTCTGCGAGCCCTGGTCTCATGGCTTGGAACTGGGAATGCAGCATCGTGGAGCCCCATTGAAATGGAGCTAGTCAAACCATATAACTTGTCAAGTTTTATCTACTCCAACATTCCAATGAAAATGATAAAACAAGACCATGGTCCCATCATTACCCACCTGGTGACGACCTGGAACAGGGTGAACCGCTTCACTAAAAACAGTGATATATTTCACCTACAGTCACCAATTTTTAACAATCATCTACTCTTAATAGGCAAAAAAACAATATCTTTCCCCCAGTGGGAACACAAGGGAATCCATTCTTTGAAAGACATCACAGGGCCAGATGGACTAAGGAAATTTCAAGATCTTAGAACTTCTTACAATTTACCAAGCTCGTCATTCTTTTTTTATCTTCAGCTACGGACTGCTATGCAGGCTCAGGGGGTCCCATGGGGGTGCTACCTCCCAGACCACCCATTCCATTCTATCCTGGGCCAAGGGAAACTCAATGGTATTGTCTCCAAACTATATAAATGTATCTTAAAATCACAATGTAATCGTCTGCCAATTGAATCACTTTGGAAATCAGATTTAAATGACTATACCGTTTGGGACTGGTCTAAAATTTGGTCCAACTTATCACTATCATCGAGAAATCCAAATCACCAAATGATTCATTATAAATGTATTCACAGGTCCTACTTATTTCCAAGGCAATTACATAAGATGAAGATAAAAGAGAACCCTTACTGTGATTACTGTGCAGACAATACCATTGGAACGTACCTTCATATGATCTGGGAATGTCCTGAAGTCCATCAGTTCTGGAACACAATCTCATCGTGCCTCTCTGACATCACAGGTCAGAATATTCCCCACACCCCGAGGCTTTTGATATTGAATGACACATCAGACCTGAATCTAACTGTTAATGAGCATCGAACACTGTTTGCTGGTCTCACCGCTGCAAAAAAAATTATAGTGTGCCGTTGGAAAACTAAACAGCCTCTGAGTGTGAGGGAATGGCTCTCCTCGTACAGAGAGATCGCTCAATTAGAACTGTCAGCAGCCCGGGTTCATAAGGCCAAAGCGGTAAATGTAATCTGCTGGTCTAATTTATTGACCAAACTTGTATAGACTTTACACCAGTGTATTATACACAGATCTATGTAAAACCCATAACTATTGTTCTTTATTTTCATTTACCCTTTCTCTAAGGCTTTGTCTTTTTTTTTATTTTTATTTTTATTTTTTATTATTGTTTACATAAGACTATGTAAACACTGCGGCTTCTGTGGATGTTCATAACGGAGGAAGTTCGCCATATTATGTGTCTGTAAATAATGAAATGTTATTGATGCCTGGAGAATGGGGTGGAGGGGGGGGTTAGCGGGGCTGGGTGTGTGCATGTGTGTGTGTGTGTGTTTGTGTATTTATGTTGGGAAAAAAAATTATTAATAAAAAAAAAAAAAAAACAAAAAAATAAAGATACATTTCCCGGAGCTGTACATGTGATTTTAGTTTTTTTGGTTCCAGTCCTGAAAGAATCTGGCCTTCAGCGGCAGGTGGTGGACTATTCTTCCTGTTTCTAACAAATCTCCAGTGACGGGTTGTTGTCATGATGCACTTGGATCATTCTGAACCTCACCACAGCCTGGAAACTCAGGCTGAAATGTTTGCATGGATTTGGGAAAAAATTAGTGGCACGGTGGCTGAGTGGTTAGAACTCTCGCCTCTTAGCAAGAAGGTCCTGGGTTCAAATCCCGGTCGGAGCAGGGCCTTTCTGAGTGGAGTTTGTGTGTTCTCCCCGTGTCTGCGTAGGTTTCCTCTGGGTACTCCGGTTTCCCCTGCCACTAAAAATATGTACAATATGCCCCACTCCCATCTCTGTGTGGAGTGAAAAATAAAATGCTCAAAAAAATAACAATTTTGACCAAAGGCGTCTTCTGTAATTATGATTGTCATTTAGAACGTTACTGTATGTTTTGGCAAATGTCGGAGCTTTATGTAAACTATGTTTTTATCTCAACAGGAAGTTAGACCTGGGGATTATTGGAGTCTATAAAAACATTGGCAACAGAATGAGGGCCGTACTTATCAAAACAGAACCACAGAAGTTCAACTCTGTTGAGGCTCAGAGCTCAGCGTTTTGGTCAATTCTATTCAATTCTATTCAATTCTGTTCAATTCAACATACTCTACGTGTGTGAATAGTTGGTGGTGGTGGGAGGAGCCATGAAAAGAGAGTTCAGACTTTACCTGTGGAAACCATAGACTGTAAATATGACAGCCGTAGTGACGCCTGTTTTGAAATATAAGTGTGATCAACATGTCCATCCATCCATCCATTTTCTTCCCCTTAATTCATTTCTGGGTCGGGGGGGGGGTGGCAGTCAGAGCTGCACCCAGTCCACATAGCACCAGCCCCTCACTGATCCTCCTGCAGGTGGTGAGTCCACAGGAGCTGAGATCTTTCAGTTGGAGCTTCAGGCAAAGTGGGGTTAAGTATCTTGCCCAAGGACACAACGACAGCAGACATCAGTGGGAGTCGTGAAGTAGGTCTTACGGTGGGATTGAACCCACGACCTTCAGGCTCTAAGGCCAATGCTCTACCAACTGAGCTACTGTCGCCCCTGTGATCCACATGTACCTTTTCAAAATACACCTCCTGTATACACCTCCTGTATACTCCTCCTGTTATCATATGTATACACCTCCTGTATACACCTCCAGTATACTCCTCCTGTATACACCTGTATACATCTCCTGTATGCCACTCCTGTATACACCTCCTGTATGCACCTCCTGTATAAACCTCCTGTATGCACCTCCTGTATAAACCTCCTGTATACACCTCCTGTATACACCTTCTGTATGCACCTCCTGTATACACCTCCCTCAGACGTCTGAGGGAGTGAGCAGGTCTGAGTCTGAGGGTCTGAGGGAGTGAGGAGGCCTGGGTCTGAGGGTCTGAGGGAATGAGGAGGTCTGAGGGAGTAAGGAGGTCTGGGTCTGAGGGTCCGAGGGAGTGAGGAGGTCTGGGTCTGAGGGAATGAGGAGGTCTGAGGGAGTGAGGGGGTCTGTGTCTGAGGGTCTGAGGGAGTGAGTAGGTCTGATTGTGAGGGTCTGAGGGACTGAGGAGGTCTGAGGGAGTGAGGAAGTCTGAGTCTGTGGGTCTGAGGGAGTGAGGAGGCCTGGGTCTGAGGGAGTGAGGAGGTCTGAGGGAGTAAGGAGGTCTGGGTCTGAGGGTCTGAGGGAGTGAGGAGGTCTGGGTCTGAGGGTCTGAGGGACTGAGGGTCTGAGGGAGTGAGGAGGTCTGAGGAAGTGAGATGATTGTTCACAGAGCAGCTGCAGCAGTCAGAGTTGGTGTATCATAATCAAACATCTGTAAGTGTCTGACTCTTCTGCAGCTCTGACGCCCTCCTCTTTGGGAACGTGTCAGCCATAATCTCTCGTCTCTACGCCGGTCTCTACGCCGGTCTCTACGCCGGTCTCTACGCCGGTCTCTACGCCGGTCTCTACGCCGGTCTCTACGCCGGTCTCTACGCCGGTCTCTACGCCGGTCTCTACGCCGGTCTCTCCAACTTCCACGTTCGCATGAATGAGCTGAAAACGTTCACCACAGAGCACCAGTTTCCGGAGGAGCTCAGCAGAAGTGTGCTACGCTACGCCACAGACACCTGGGCGTCTCAGGGGATCCAGCACCATGTGGGGAGATGTGCTTTGGATAAATGCAAATCAATTCATTTTATTCTTGTTTAGGACTTTTCAAAACTGTAGAAATTTGTTAACACAGATCAGAGAATCAAACCGTTCAAATTCAAGATAAACTTTATTGATCTCACAACGAAGACATTATGTTAATCACTCAGGCGCAAAACTACTGGAAGTGTGCAACATTCAATGATTAAAAACTGACAGAGCCATCGGTCCATGAGGAGAAGACCAAAGTCCAGAACCTGGATCCTCCTCCTGCATCTCTAATGTGACATCTCTAATCTGACATCTCTAAACTGACATCTCTAATCTGACATCTCTAATCTGACATCTCTAAACTGACATATCTAAAGTGACATCTCTAAACTGACATCTCTAAACTGACATCTCTAATCTGACATCTCTAATATGACATCTCTAATCTGACATCTCTAAACTGACATCTCTAAAGTGATATCTCTAAAGTGACATCTCTAAAGTGACATCTCTAATCTGACATATCTAATCTGACATATCTAAACTGACATCTCTAAAGTGACATCTCTAAAGTGACATCTCTAAAGTGACATCTCTAATCTGACATCTCTAAACTGACATCTCTAATCTGACATCTCTAAACTGACATCTCTAAACTGACATCTCTAAACTGACACCTCTAAAGTGACATCTCTAAAGTGACATCTCTAATCTGACATCTCTAAAGTGACATCTCTAAAATGACATCTCTAATGTGACATCTCTAAACTGACATCTCTAAACGGACATCTCTAAAGTGACATCTCTAAAGTGACATCTCTAATGTGACATCTCTGAACTGACATCTCTAAAGTGACATCTCTAATCTGACATGTCTAAAGTGACATCTCTAAAGTGGCATCTCTAAACTGACATCTCTAAACTGACATCTCTAAACTGACATCTCTAATCTGACATCTCTAATATGACATCTCTAATCTGACATCTCTAAACTGACATCTTTGATACAAGATGGCGCCTCGTACGGTCGACATGGCTCTTTGCTGCTCTCTTTTTCTTTTGTTTTTACTTTTTAACTGTGCATCTGGCTGTTCCTACACCCGTGAGGAACTTATGAACATCCGACCCACCGTTCCCATGGACCTATTGCCTGTTTTCTTGGCATCTGCGGCTGATTTAGTTCATGTTCTAGCCAAAAAAGTGTGGGCCCGTAAAAGGGGAAAGCGAGGAGGCCTGCTCGTGCGTCTTAGGAGGAGAGGAGCGCGCACGGCTCTCCCCGGCATTTTTCTCTCCAACGTACGCTCACTGGGCAATAAGATGGACGAACTCAGCCTGCTCATGAGAAGAAACAAGGACTTCGCCACATCCTGTGTCCTCTGCTTCACTGAGACCTGGCTAAATGAGCGGATCCCGGACTGCGCTCTGGAGCTGCAGGGCTTTGGGCTGTTTCGCGCGGATCGCCATTGTGCGCTCTCAGGGAAGAGCAGAGGCGGAGGGCTCTGTTTCTACGTCAATACAAACTGGTGTAACGATGTGACAGTGATCTCCAAGCACTGCTCTCCTGCTCTGGAATATCTTTTCATTCATTGTAAACCATATTACTCCCCGCGGGAAATTGTTTCATTCATTCTTGCCTCTGTTTACATACCGCCATGCGCGGACGCGCGCGAGGCTCAGCGCGCACTCGCAGAGCAAGTACTGTGTATGGAACGCTTATACCCGGACTCTCTGATTATTATCCTGGGGGATTTTAATAAGGGAAACTTGAGCCAGGAATTACCCAAATACAGACAGTTTATCAAATGCCCGACCAGAGAGGAGAACACTCTGGATCACTGTTACACCACCGTGCGCGGAGCTTTTCGCGCTGTTCCCAAGCCAGCCCTCGGCTTCTCAGATCACTCCATGATACATCTGGTTCCTGCTTACAGACAGAGACTAAAGCTCTCGAAACCTGCAGTGAGGAGCTCCAAAGTGTGGTCTGATGAAGCTGTGGAAGAGCTACGCGCATGCATGGAATCTACAGACTGGGACCTTTTCAGAGCTGCCACAGACAGCTTGGATGAATATACGGACACTGTGACGTCATACATCCACTTCTGTGAGGATAGCATCATTCCAACAAGGACCAGGGTCATCTATAACAACGACAAACCCTGGTTCACTGCTAAACTCCGGCAGCTCAGGAAAGCAAAGGAGTCTGCTTTCAGGGAGGGGGACCGCAGCGGCTACAAAGCAGCTAAATATCAGTTCAGGAAAGAACTGAAAGCAGCCAAGTCCCGGCACAGAGAACGACTACAGGAGCAGTTTGGTAACAACGATACTGCTTCTGTCTGGAGGGGCCTACGGGAGATCACCAACTACAAACCCAAAGCCCCCCCCTGTGCTGATGACCACAAGCTAGCTGACGATCTGAACTTATTTTTCAGTCGCTTTGATGCTGCCCCTGACACCTCTCCCTCCCCCACCCCCCACTACTCTAACGACCCACCCATCAGCCCTGCCCCCAGCCTAACAATAGCCGCTAAAGAGATTAAACAACTCTTCCTGAGGCTGCACCCCCGCAAAGCTCCTGGCCCGGACCACGTGTCTCCGGCCACTCTGAGACACTGCGCCAGTGAGCTTACTCCTGTGTTCACGGACATTTTCAACACCTCTCTGCAGTCCTGCCATGTCCCGGCCTGCTTCAAATCCTCCATCATTGTCCCCGTCCCGAAGAAGCCCAGGATCACAGGACTCAATGACTACAGACCTGTAGCACTTACGTCTGTCGTCATGAAGTCATTTGAACGCCTGGTTCTCTCCCATCTCAAGTCCCTCACCTCCCCCCTCCTGGACCCCCTGCAGTTCGCCTACAGAGCCAACAGATCTGTAGACGACGCCATTAACCTGGCCCTCCACCACATCCTACAGCACCTGGACTCCCCGGGGACCTACGCCAGGGTCCTGTTCGTGGACTTCAGCTCTGCCTTCAACACAATCCTGCCATCCCTGCTCCAGGACAAGCTCTCCCAGCTCAACGTGCCCGATTCCACCTGCAGGTGGATCACTGACTTCCTGACGGACAGGAAGCAGCGAGTGCGTCTGGGGAAGAATGTCTCGGACTCTCGGATTATAAATACAGGAGCCCCACAGGGCTGTGTTCTTTCTCCCCTGCTCTTCTCCCTGTACACCAACCACTGCACCTCCAGCCACGACTCCGTGAAGCTGATCAAGTTCGCGGACGACACCACCCTCATTGGACTCATCTCCAACAACGATGAGTCCGCCTACAGGAGGGAGGTGGACCGGCTGGTGTCCTGGTGCAGTGGTAACAACCTGGAGCTGAACGCCCAGAAGACAGTGGAGATGATTGTGGACTTCAGGAAGAGCACTGTCCCCCCGCCCCCACCCTCCGTGATGGACTCCCCCATCACCTCTGTGGAGTCCTTCCGTTTCCTGGGCACCACCATCACCCAGGACCTCAAGTGGGAGCCGACCATCAGCTCCCTCATCAAGAAGGCCCAGCAGAGGATGTACTTCCTGCGGCAGCTCAGGAAAGCCAAGCTGCCTGCACAGATGTTGGTGCAGTTCTACACGGCCATCATCGAGTCCATCCTCACCTCCTCCATCACCGTGTGGTTCGCTGGAGCCACAGTCAGGGACAAACAGAGACTACAGCGCATTGTGCGCTCTGCAGAGGAAGTGATCGGCCGCAGCCTTCCATCGCTGCAGGACCTGTACGTCGCCCGAGCTCGAGGCCGGGCTGGTCGTATCACAGCCGACCCCTCTCACCCTGCACATGGACTATTCCAACCACTCCCCTCAGGCAGGAGGCTGCGGTCCATCAGGACTAGAACCTCCCGCCACAAGAACAGTTTCTTCCCCTCTGCTGTTGGACTCTTGAACACTTCTTAACCTGTCCCCCCGCCCTTTATAAAGTCACTTTACTGCCCATCATACGTCACTTTACTTCACTGTACTGCTGTCACCTTACATTGTGTGCACCATGTGCACTTGTATATTGTAAATAGTAACTGTAACTCTATTTTAAATTTAAATTTATTCTTTAGAAGTGTTTTTTATTCTTATTTTTATTATCTCTTTTTGACTGTTGCACTGAGCCAAAGCAATTTCCAAGTCTGTGACCTCCCGTTACTTACGTTGGCAATAAAAATGATTCTGATTCTGATTCTGACATCTCTAAAGTGATATCTCTAAAGTGACATCTCTAAAGTGACATCTCTAATCTGACATATCTAATCTGACATATCTAAACTGACATCTCTAAAGTGACATCTCTAAAGTGACATCTCTAAAGTGACATCTCTAATCTGACATCTCTAAACTGACATCTCTAATCTGACATCTCTAAACTGACATTTCTAAACTGACATCTCTAAACTGACACCTCTAAAGTGACATCTCTAAAGTGACATCTCTAATCTGACATCTCTAAAGTGACATCTCTAAAATGACATCTCTAATGTGACATCTCTAAACTGACATCTCTAAACGGACATATCTAATCTGACATCTCTAAAGTGACATCTCTAATGTGACATCTCTGAACTGACATCTCTAAAGTGACATCTCTAATCTGACATGTCTAAAGTGACATCTCTAAACTGACATCTCTAAAGTGACATCTCTAGAGTGACATATCTAAATTGACATCTCTAATGTGACATCTCTAAACTGACATCTCTAAACGGACATCTCTAAACGGACATCTCTAAAGTGACATCTCTAATCTGACATCTCTAAAGTGACATCTCTAATGTGACATATCTAAAGTGACATCTCTAATTTGACATCTCTAAACTGACATCTCTAAACGGACATCTCTAATTTGACATCTCTAAAGTGACATCTCTAAAGTAACATCTCTAAAGTGACATCTCTAAACTGACATCTCTAATCTGACATCTCTAAACTGACATCTCTAATCTGACATCTCTAAAGTGACATCTCTAAAGTGACATCTCTAAAGTGACATCTCTAAAGTGACATCTCTAATCTGACATCTCTAATCTGACATCTCTAAAGTGACATCTCTAAAGTGACATCTCTAATCTGACATCTCTAAACTGACATCTCTAAACTGACATCTCTAAACTGACATATCTAAACTGACATCTCCAAAGTGACATCTCTAAAGTGACATCTCTAATCTGACATCTCTAAACTGACATCTCCAAAGTGACATCTCTAAAGTGACATCTCTAATCTGACATCTCTAAAGTGACATCTTTAATCTGACATATCTAAAGTGACATCTCTAATGTGACATCTCTAAAGTGACATCTCTAAAGTGACGTCTCTAAAGTGACGTCTCTAAAGTGACATCTCTAAAGTGACATCTCTAATGTGACATCTCTAAAGTGACATCTCTAAAGTGACGTCTCTAATGTGACATCTCTAAACTGACATCTTTAAACTGACATCTCTAAAGTGACATCTCTAAAGTGACATCTCTAAAGTGACATCTCTAATGTGACATCTCTAAAGTGACATCTCTAAAGTGACGTCTCTAATGTGACATCTCTAAACTGACATCTTTAAACTGACATCTCTAAACTGACATCTCTAAAGTGACATCTCTAAAGTGACATCTCTAATGTGAAATCTTTAATTTGACATCTCTAAAGTGACATCTCTAATGTGACATCTCTAATGTGACATCTCTAAATTGACATCTCTAATGTGACATCTCTAAAGTGACATCTCTAAAGTGACATCTCTAATGTGACATCTCTAATGTGACATCTCTAAAGTGACATCTCTAATGTGACATCTCTAAAGTGACATCACTAAAGTGACATCTCTAATGTGCTGCTCCAGTATTTCCCGGAGGACATCTCCATTAAAATCCACCTGCACCTGTTTCGCCACATCCTGGACCGGACTCTGTTCAAGCGACGCCGAAGTGAAGAAGGAGCTGGCCCTTCACGTGAGCGCCTCCACCCATCGGAGCGCTGCTTTTGTTCAATTTAATTTATTCTTGTATCGCTGAAGGACTTAGCCGTTGATTCTCTAACACAGATCAGAAAATCAAACCGTTCAAACACAGGAAATGTAAATGTAGAAAACACATGGGGTGCAGAGAGTCTTAGACCTGTTCACACAATGGGGCATGGAGCTCTACAGGGACCTGCAACTGGAACTGGACTTCGACATCTGCCCCGAGGTACACACACACACACACACACAAACACACACACACACAAAAACACACACACACACACACACACAGACACACACACACAGACACACACACACATACGCACACACACTCACACAGACACACGCACGCACACACACAGACACACACACATACACTCACACACACATACGCGCACACACACAAACGCACACACACACATACGCACACACACTCACACACATGCGCACACACTCACACTCACACACACACATATACGCACACACACTCACACTCACACTCACACACATGCGCACACACTCACACTCACACACACACACACATACGCACACACACACACACATCCTCCAGCTCATCCAGGGGAATCCTGAGGCGTTCCTCTCTGAGAGACAGAGTCTCCCTGTAGGAGGCGCTCTGGAGCCATCTGGACCAGATGCAGAGTAGAGCATTCCATCCCATTTTGTCAAATCTGCAACATCTCAATCTAGATTACAAAATCAGGAATTACATTTGGAATTAAATAATATTGTTCTCTAAGAAAATGAAGATGAGAGATCATTGTAATATTATAATCCTACGTCTGCAAAGAGCTTCTGGCCCAGGGGGTAAGGTCAAACTAGTCTTTGACACCATAAACACACTTTATAGTGTCAGAACCAGAATCAGAACCATGTTTATTGCCATGTAAGTAACAGGAAGTCACAGACTAAGGCATTACTTTGGCTCTTGGTGCGACAGTCAAAGAAGAGAGGTAAAGAGTAGAGAATGGCATAATAAAAATCAGCATACACTTCGAAGGTATAAAAAATGAGTGACGTTATGATGGGCAGTAGTGGCTTTATAATCATCCAGCCAACTCCAGCTCCACCCACGTGGCCATGTAAAAACCTCTTTGTAAAGTTCAGGACCTCTGAGATCCAGTTTTTTCATTCATTCTCATGTTGTGTGTGTTTTTTCAGACCACGGATAATTTCTTTGACAGTTTGTAGACAATCTTTTTTTCTGTATTGCACTTTTATCACTTTTAAACTAAACAAACTTTTTGGGGATTTTTTCCAGAACTTCCTTGGTTCGAATGCACAGTGTAGTTTCAGAGTTCAATTCTCTGCATATGTAATATAACATTTTCATTGTTGTTGAGTTTGTGCTGAATATTTGATTTGGTCTAATTGGGTTTATTGAGTGAAAAATTAGCAAATGTGCCTTTTTGCCTTTGAGTTATGATGATATCATGTTTAAGACTTACTCGTTGACTGACACTTACTTTGTGCTCAATAAAATGTCAGAGTGTATTTCTGTTTAGTTGTGTTTGTGTGTTTCATTATCATTGCCCTTTGACCCTCCTGCATTTGCACGGGAAAAAAATAGGTAAAAAATGCAAAATTGTGGTACTTTTAATAATAACGTTTTATATATATTTAAACTGCTCTAGGAGTCTCACGTGTTTACTGTTTTATTATGTTCAAGATCTATCCATCCATCTTCTTCCGCTTCATCCGTTGCCGGGTCGCGGGGGCAGCAGTCTAAGCAGAGACGCCCAGACTTCCCTATCCACACACACTTCCTCCAGCTCGTCCGGGGGGACTCCAAAGCGTTCCCAGGCCAGCTGAGAGACATAGTCCCTCCAGCGTGTCCTGGGTCTTCCCCTGGGCCTCCTCCCGGTGGGACGTGCCCGGAACACCTCCCCAGGGAGGCGTCCAGGAGGCATCCGGAACAGATGCCCGAGCCACCTCAACTGGTTCCTCTCGACGTGGAGTAGCAGCGGCTCTACTCCGAGCTCCTCCCGTGTGACATAGCTCCTCATCCTATCTCTAAGGGAGCAGCCACTCTGCGGAGGAAGCTCATTTGGACCGCTTGTATCCGCGATCTCGTTCTTTCGGTCATTACCCAAAGCTCATGACCATAGGTGAGGGAGGGAACGAAGATTGACCGGTAAATTGAGAGCTTTGCCTTTCGGCTCAGCTCCCTCTTCACCACAAAGGTCCGATACAGCTCTGACTGCAGACGCTGCTCCCTCTTTACCACAACGGTCCGATACAGCTCTGACTGCAGACGCTGCTCCCTCTTTACCACAACGGTCCGATACAGCTCTGACTGCAGACGCTGCTCCCTCTTTACCACAACGGTCCGATACAGCTCTGACTGCAGACGCTGCTCCCTCTTTACCACAACGGTCCGATACAGCTCTGACTGCAGACGCTGCTCCCTCTTTACCACAACGGTCCGATACAGCGACCGAATCACTGCGCACGCTGCACCGATCCGCCTGTCAATCTCACGCTCCATTCTTCCCTCACTCGTGAACAAGACCCCGAGATACTTGAACTCCTCCACTTGAGGAAGGACCTCTCCACCCACCTGCAGAGGGCAAGGCACCTTTTTCCGGTCGAGCACCATGGCCTCGGATTTGGAGGTGCTGATTCTCATCCCAGCCGCTTCACACTCGGCTGCAAACCGTCCCAGTGCATGCTGCAGGTCCTGGTTCGTTGGAGCCAACAGGACAACATCGTCCGCAAACAGCAGAGATGAAATCCTGTGGTCTCCGAACCGGACCCCCTCCGGGCCCTGGCTGCGCCTAGAAATTCTGTCCATAAAGACATTGAACAGAACCGGTGACAAAGGGCAGCCCTGTCGGAGGCCAACATTCACCGGGAACAGGTCTGACTTACTGCCGGCAATGCGAACACAGCTCTGACTCCGGTCATAAAGGGACCGAACGGCCCTCAGCAGAGGACCCCGGACCCCGTACTCACGGAGGACCCCCCAAAGAACACCCCGGGGAACACGGTCAAACGCCTTCTCCAAATCCACAAAGCACATGTGGACAGGTTGGGCAAACTCCCATAATCCTCGAGTATCCATCCAATGATAAATACTGAGGTGATTAAATGCTTGAATCGGGTGTTTTTATCTGACTGTGTTAAAACCAGATTAAAACACGTTGGAAAAGGCTCTGTCTCTGCACAGACACGGCTTTTGTAGAACCAGGAGCCACCCGTGTTCTGAAACTCGTCATGCTACAGAAACTCGTCATGCTACAGAAACTCGTCGTGCTAAAGAAACTCGTCATGCTAAAGAAACTCGTCATGCTACAGAATCTCGTCATGCTACAGAAACTCGTCATGCTACAGAGACTCGTCATGCTACAGAAACTCGTCATGCTAAAGAAACTCGTCATGCTACAGAGACTCGTTATGCTAAAAAAACTCGTCATGCTACAAAGACTCATCATGCTAAAGAAACTCGTCATGCTAAAGAAACTCGTCATGCTACAGAGACTCGTCATGCTACAGAAACTCGTCATGCTACAGAGACTCGTCATGCTAAAGAAACTCGTCATGCTACAGATACTCGTCATGCTAAAGAAACTCGTCATGCTACAGAATCTCGTCATGCTAAAGAAACTTGTCATGCTACAGAAACTCGTCATGCTACAGAGACTCGTCATGCTAAAGAAACTCGTCATGCTACAGACACTTGTCATGCTAAAGAAACTTGTCATGCTACAGAAACTCGTCATGCTACAGAGACTTGTCATTCTACAGAGACTCGTCATGCTAAAGAAACTCGTCATGCTACAGAAACTCGTCATGCTACAGAGACTCGTCATGCTAAAGAAACTCGTCATGCTACAGAGACTTGTCATGCTACAGAAACTCGTCATGCTACAGAAACTTGTCATGCTACAGAGACTCGTCATGCTACAGAAACTTGTCATGCTACAGAGACTCGTCATGCTAAAAAGACTCGTCATGCTACAGAAACTCGTCATGCTAAAGAAACTTGTCATGCTAAAGAAACTCGTCATGCTAAAGAAACTCGTCATGCTAAAGAAACTCGTCATGCTAAAGAGACTCGTCATGCTACAGAAACTCGTCATGCTACAGAAACTCGTCATGCTAAAGAAACTTGTCTTGCTACAGAAACTCGTCATGCTACAGAAACTCGTCATGCTACAGAGACTCGTCATGCTACAGAAACTCGTCATGCTACAGAAACTCGTCATGCTACAGAGACTCGTCATGCTAAAGAAACTTGTCATGCTAAAGAAACTCGTCATGCTACAGAGACTCGTCATGCTACAGAGACTCGTCATGCTACAGAAACTCGTCATGCTACAGAAACTCGTCATGCTACAGAGACTCGTCATGCTACAGAAACTCGTCATGCTACAGAAACTCGTCATGCTACAGAGAACCAACTTCAGAAGAAATTGAAGAGAAAGATGAAGAGATCCTTGTTTTCGTCCCACAGCGGGGAAATTCCAGTGTTGCATCACAAGTTATAGAACAGTAGGAATGAGGAGCACACAGCACAAGGTAAATGAATTATAGCTGTACTAAAATAATAATAATAATAATAATAATAATGCATCAAACTTATATAGTGTTTTTTTGGACACTCAAAGACCCTTTTCAAAACACATAGAAATAAACATTGAAAAACAAAAATGAAGGAAAGGCTGAAACAGGTGAGTTTTGAGAAGAGATTTAAAGTTCTGTAGTGAGTCTGAGCTTCTGATTGGTTGAGCGAGTGAGTTCCAGAGAGTGGGGGCCGCTCTATCGAAGACTCGGTCCCCCAAGGTTCGGTGTTTAGTCCTGAGGGGAGTGAGGAGGTCTGAGTCTGTGGATCTGAGGCGGCGGGAGGGACAGTGATGATAGATATATATATATATAATAGAGTCCGGCACTTCTTTTGGGTAAAGCTGTAGAAAGTTAAGAGTCATCCATGTTTTAAGGTCCTTTGTGCAGCACTGAGCCTTTTCAACTGATCCGTCTGATTTGGTTTCATCGACAGATAAAGCTGTGTGTCATCTGCAGCTGTGTCTGCAGCTGTGTCTGCAGCTGTGTCTGCAGCTGTGTCTGCAGCTGGGTCTGCAGCAGTGGAAGTTAATGCTTTTGAATAGTGTTACCTAACGGCAGCATGTAGTGTGTGAAAAGAACCGAACCCTGCGGCACACCGAATTCCACTCTAGACTAGGGAAACGAGTTTTGATTCACATTGACAAAGTGACACCGATCCGATAAATAGGATTTAAACCAGCCAAGGGCTGTTCCTCTGAGTGATGTCACATGCTCCGCAGCAGAATGCTGTGGTCTATTGTGTCAAATGCAGCTGAGTCCAGTAGGACCAGAACTGACACTTGTCCATTACATCATAATAGTCTCTCTCTAGTCTCTCTCTGGTCTCTCTCTGGTCTCTCTCTGGTCTCTCTCTGGTCTCTCTCTCTCTGGTCTCTCTCTGGTCTCTCTCTCTGGTCTCTCTCTGGCCTCTCTCTCTGGTCTCTCTCTGGTCTCTCTCTGGTCTATCTCTGGTCTCTCTCTGGTCTCTCTCTGGTCTCTCTCTGGTCTCTCTCTCTGGTCTCTCTCTCTGGTCTCTCTCTCTGGTCTCTCTCTGGCCTCTCTCTGGTCTCTCTCTCTGGTCTCTCTCTGGTCTCTCTCTGGTCTATCTCTGGTCTCTCTCTCTGGTCTCTCTATGGTCTCTCTCTCTGGCCTCTCTCTGGTCTCTCTCTGGTCTCTCTCTGGTCTCTCTCTGGTCTATCTCTGGTCTCTCTCTCTGGTCTCTCTATGGTCTCTCTCTCTGGCCTCTCTCTGGTCTCTCTCTGGTCTCTCTCTGGTCTCTCTCTGGTCTCTCTCTGGTCTCTCTCTGGTCTCTCTCTCTGGTCTCTCTATGGTCTCTCTCTCTGGCCTCTCTCTGGTCTCTCTCTGGTCTCACTCTGATCTCTCTCTGGCCTCTCTCTGGTCTCTCTCTCTGGTCTCTCTCTGGTCTCTCTCTGGTCTCTCTCTGGTCTCTCTCTGGCCTTTCTCTGGTCTCTTTCTGGTCTCTCTCTGGTCTCTCTCTCTGGTCTATCTCTGGTCTCTCTCTCTGGTCTCTCTATGGTCTCTCTCTCTGGCCTCTCTCTGGTCTCTCTCTGGTCTCTCTCTGGTCTCTCTCTGGTCTCTCTCTGGTCTCTCTCTCTGGTCTCTCTATGGTCTCTCTCTCTGGCCTCTCTCTGGTCTCTCTCTGGTCTCACTCTGATCTCTCTCTGGCCTCTCTCTGGTCTCTCTCTCTGGTCTCTCTCTGGTCTCTCTCTGGTCTCTCTCTGGTCTCTCTCTGGCCTTTCTCTGGTCTCTTTCTGGTCTCTCTCTGGTCTCTCTCTCTGGTCTCTCTCTGGTCTCTCTCTGGCCTCTCACTGGTCTCTCTCTGGTCTCTCTGGTCTCTCTCTGGTCTCTCTCTGGTCTCTCGCTGATGGCCCAGGGAAGTGTGGTGACAGTTTTTGGAGTAATTACATTAAAACCAGCCGCAGCAAATACACGGACGTCAAAGGCCTTTTATCAATGCAGACGACCTTCTGACGCCATGCTGAGCTTTGTGAAGGTCCCTGCTGTCTGTCACACCCTTGTGTCTTTCCGTCTTGCATCTGTATGACCTGCATTTCCACCATTGTCTGTCTGTTCACACCCCATGCCACTGCCACCACAGGGGATGGCGCCGGCGCTTCCTGTGCGCCTCCTCACCGGTGGCCCCCTCCGCTCCGTTGTGGGCGTGACTATCTTTGGTGTGTGTCTTGTATACAGGAAGCTCGGGGCTCTGGCCCCCAGAGCTGGGACATGCTGCTTTTGAGTGGATGTGCTGGCTCTCCGCACTGTGCGTTAACAATAAACTTACGCTTTTGATCAGACAAAGGACCTTTGAGTTTCCTCCTTCATGGGGTATATAATTCTACAACAATTTGGCGTTGCTGGCATGTCTTGGCATGGGATACTTTCGGCGGGACGAGCGGCTTTGTTTGGCCGACCTGGATCACCAGCCTCTGTTCCTTTTTGGAGACAAAGGAGAGCGCGCTCGTCCCGCGCACGGAAGGAATCCTTTTGCCACACAAGACCAAAAAGAACCTAATCTGGTGAGTCTTGTCTTTTCATCTGCGTAACGAGCCCAGGGCAGCACTTAAGTGTACACGGGGATTTGTTTATTTATGTATTTTTGGGGTATTTCATTCATTGCCACAGCATAGTCTGTGTGCGGGATTTTTTGGGGCCTTTTTGTTCTAGATTGAAACTAGCGGCTGCGCGTTAGTATCGCATTGTAAGCGACCCTGGAATCTCTGAGTGTCTTCAGCCAGAACCGCTCCGTTTTCAAGAACGCGCGCTCGCTGGTTGAACCAGCGGGGGGGGGGAACGGAGCGCCCCAAAGTGGGTAAGAGCAGGGAGAGACTAAGCGGGTTAGGCCCATTGTTCGTACGAGAAAATGGGTAAAATCAATCTACAGATGCAAGCTATGAAGTGTTTGCCTATGGTGCAGGTCATCTGCGTGATAATTTAGAAGAAGAAGGGAAGAAAAAAAAAAATATATATACTTGGTTTTAAGAATATCACGGCAAAAGAGGTTAGAGAAAGAAATATGTAAAAACAATAGCTCCTCCGCTCTTCACCGAAGCGGAGAACACACAGGCGCACACACACGCCCTCTCTCACCTACTAACCCTTTCACACTAGGAGCAGAACTCCATGCTAAGTACGCGCCCAAACAAGGCGTTGGGTTTTTAAAAAATGAAGCAGACTACTGTTGTCTCTTTTCCCTCTTCCCTATCCAGGTCTGTCGGCGCCTTTCCTCCGCGCTCTGTCCTCTGCCTCAAAGCACCAGCCCCACGCCCCAACCACAGGCGGCGCTCGCACCAGCTGAGACCCCGCGAGAAGTGGGCCCAAACCGCAGAAGAAGAAGAGGCGGAAACAGACACACGCTCAGGAAACCACAGAAGAAGAAACGGGGGAGCAAATATGTGAGACACCGACAACTGCTTTGGAGCACAGAGAGAAACTGCTCCAAATCCCGTGACTGTTCTCCACGGAGGGGGCAGCGTGATATACCAAACGCACCCGCGGAAACCCCCTTGAAAGTTGTTCCCGCACCGCAAACAGAAGAAGCCATTGTGACCGGCACGTTTGGGTTATTCACCAACCCTCATGGACCACATGCTAACGCTTTGGGCTACCTGGGCCTCCTGCGGACTTTGAAAAACTTCCACAGCCCGGCGGAAAGACTGTGTGCTCGACATGGGTCGAAGGACTGTTACCGGAGGAGGCGTTAAAGGCAGAGGCTCACACGGGGCCAGAGGACGGCAGAGGCGGGCACGGAGGAAACACGAGCGACTGACCAAACCTGGGTTCACATTCGTCACCAAAGCGGCCGCTCATGTAAGTTTGAACAAGAACAAATTGCAATTGGCACTTTTTAGAGATAATTCATGCTGAATTCCCGTAATATACGCTAACAATCTGTGGTGTAACAGTTAAAATTCTGGATGATTACAACAAATCCTGTGTTTAAAAACAACACATAAGGTGACAGATTTTGGTCCGTTCTCAAGTGAGTGGTCGCTTCACAAAACTCATGGCTTCAGTTAGGGCTGGGCAATTAATCGATTTTAATCATTAATTCGAGTTTTACATTTAGGGCGATTTCTTTTCTTTTAAAATTCGATTTTTTATTTTCTCCATCGCAGAACTACAGCGCTAACGCGCTAACCGCGGGTCTATGGTGTTGAGCAGTCATTTTGAAGCTAACCTAATGCTAACAGGCTCCCTCTGGCCTGATGCTCGCTCTCACAGTTGGTGCTGTTGCAATAACACTTCAAACGGTCAAGAATCAGACTTTATTTAAATCGCCAGAACACACACTCGTGTCCCACTGAGCCGCTGCACTTTGGGGAAAGACACGTCTCTTATTGCTCTGATACAAACAACGTGTTCCCCGCTAGCTGTTAGCTACAGTAGCTGCTACAGTAGCTGTTAGCTACAGCATCAGAATGTAAACAGGAAGCTCGCACAATGCGGGAGCCACTGAAGTTAGTATTAGCGCCACCAGCTGGACCAAGCGTTGTACTACAGCACAGTTACTCAGGCACAGTTGGAAGAACAAGCATGAAAACCCGAGGAGGCTTTTGGAACAGACTGTCTGTTACAACATTTCTATTTTGAGTCATCAGTTTTAAAAATGTGATATTTCATGTAAATAATGCATGTGTTTAATAGGATTGATATATTTGCGATGGGCCTTGTTTGTGTGATTTAAGTTATTTGAAAGGTGCATAGTGTCATTGTAAGTGAAGTTATTAAAAACCGTTAAGCTACATTTTCGTAACAAGAGCTCATTAGAGATATAGGGGACACCATTTGTGATAAGCCCGAAATACAGACCACGTGGTAAACACTAAAGTTGGAAATGGATTTCTTTTTTT